CCAATCTCGAAAGTCTAGATATTGTCTACTGCAAGGAACTAGAGAAGTGGTGTAAAATTGAGAACAAGGCCAAGCTGTCACACATCAAAGAGAAGGTAATCTGACGCAACCAATAATATATAGGGATAATTGTCCGTTGGACATCCAAAGTGGTGGTCCTTTGCTGGTGGACACCCACTTTGGAGCATTTTGCTAGAAGACACTCTGGTTCGGTGAAATTAGGCCACGTGACACCGCGGACCGATTGCGGACGGTTGAGGAGAGAGAACAGCGGGTGAAATGACATTCTTGCCCCCGCCGCTTTCTTCTTTCTCTCTTCCTTTCTCTTTTTTTCTGTGTCCATGGTGGGGCTGTGGGGCGACTCAGCGGCGGCCGGGCGCGGTGAACGCTGGGTGAGTGACGGGCTGCGGCCGCCAGGGCTTCAGCGAGCGCAGCGGCCGCTAGGGTGAGGACGAGCATGGCCACCATGGTGCGGCCCACCGTGGCTGCCATGGTGCGCACGAGCACGGCCGCCGGGGCGCGGGCAGCCGCGACCGCCGTGGCTCCGGGTGGGCAGGACGGGGACGGGGGCAGGGCTTGGCTCGATTTGGTGTAGGGAGGGGTGGCGTGATGGCGAGGCCGCCGGCAAGGGCGGGGCGGAGGAGCAGGCGAGGTCGCGGGGGCTCGGCTCGTGGTGGCAGCAGGTCAGCGCGCTACAGCGGCGCACGAGCTCCGAAGCAGCCTCCTCCACCACACCAAGCTGCCGGGCCGTCCTGCTCCACGCTTGTCTTCGAGACGCCGCCGCCCACCTGCGCCCACACGGCTGCGGAGAAAGGCGCTCATCTCGCCGCTTCCAGCAGGAAGTCGGTGGGGGGGAAGCTACCTCTCCGATGATGACAAGACGGAGAGATGCGGCGCAACTCGTTTGTGACCGGGGATGCACGACCTCCACCGGCGAGGATGCAGAGAACACGAGCAGAGGAGGCACGGGGTAGGGGTGAGAAGAGAAGAGGAGGAAGAAGTAGATGACAGGTGGGGCCCGCGCGTCAGTGAGAGTGAGAGGGGTAGACCCAACTGTGGCTCAGGGGCACCGGATGTTCAAAAGGAAAATTTCTCTCTCCTCAACAGGCCGCAACCGGTCCACGGTGTCCTATGGCCTAATTTCACCGAATCAGAGTGTCTTCTGAAAAAATGCTCCAAAGTGGGTGTCCGCCAGCAAAGGACCATCACTTTGGATGTCCAACAAACAATTATCCCTATCATCTGATGACGTTTTGCTCTTGTTTTGCACTAGGTAGTTACTCTTTTCATTCAAAGCTTTTTAGTACACAAGTTATCTTTTTTCTAGAGTACATGACAGGGTTTGTGAAACGATCCACGATTTCCTCGAAGAAATCCACAGATTACATCATAATGTGATAGTTTAGAAATACCAAGTTGTCACATTATCATTACTCTAGTTGATACCACAGTTCATACATCACGGAATTACAAGTTTACGATGTATTACAACACTTGGTAGCACACATAAGTACAACGTATACTAGCGAGGACGCACACAGAACAATATCAGAGTAGATGTAGCGCCTCAGTGGGTGAAGGCTCCTTCACGGGCAATCATCAGAGTAAGCATAGAGCATCAGCAGTCGTAGACTTCATCTCCTCAACCAAACTTGAGCATAGGAACAAGACCACATAATCCTTCTAATCCCCACTGTTGTCGTCGTAGATGGCACCCAATCCTGCTGAACAATTATCAGTACGATTTGTACTGGCCACTGACTCCCACCCTATACTTTGCGTTTGTTTTGTGGCAGTGGAATGCAAGCGTAAAGCAAAGGCCTATTTATGACTGTAGTTTTCCTATGCAAGTTCATCAATATTTTATAATAGCTCATCAAGTTTTCACCCATCTCATCCACACACGTTCACCCATCCTATCACACGCTTCTCACCACACTCTCACTTTCTAGGTGGTGAGGACGAATCCCTCTCATGCCTTGCCTCAACGGCCAAAACCGGAAACTAACACCAAACCCAAGGGGAAGAAGAAGAAAGGACTCCTCTCACTAATCAAGAGAAGCATATGTCACAGGAATGTCTATATCCGAGGACTCGGCTATATGTATAGATCCATCAACTCTGCAGAGCGTGTACACCTGGCACCACAAGATCACCATCATCGACAATGCCCCGCCTAGTCTGATACCGACTGCCTTCCAACCGGTATGGTGCCACCCTACCACTCAACCCTAGGCCACCCCGGAGTCCACCGACACGCTGAGACTGTGAGACGTAGTACCGGGCCCCAGAGGTCACTACGCTGTCTTTGGAGGGTGTGGGCCATATGCCCGTACCTCCCTACACTATCCACTTTCAACCTAGCAGTAATGGCACCATCCTAGTTGGTCGGGTAACCGTCCCCCGCCCATTCAGGAGCGAGTGGTGTGTACGTAGGGTCCTATGATCCAGTTCTCTCGACATACCAGTCCTTAGGGGACAAGACAAGATATCTTCTCAAAGGGGCTAACCAACACCCCGTGCCTCGATGGCACCTCCATCCCGAAGAGTCGCATCCTTGAAATATATTCCTCACACATGTACCCGCCACAGGTACCTCTCGTAGGGAATGCCCAGGTCACATCCCCCTAGCAAGACTCGTCCAAAGACTCATCGTAGAATCTTGTCCGGTCGACTCAACCCTCACCACACACCCAAGACACATGCCATGATCTCCCCAAGTTATCACCAGTTTTAGTGGCACCATGCGCATTAGCCACTCACAAACAATCCTCCACCAAACATCACATCATAGATATAATGCATAGTAGAAGTAAGCGAGTGTCTAGCCTATCAGCGGGTGTGCAGGGGTAAAGGTTGCGTCAAGGTAATGGCTTTCAAGCAATTCTACCATGCAACCTATCACAGTTCAATTGCATAAAAGTAAAGCACTAGCAGCTACATTATTGCATGTCTAATAGGATTCTACGAGGTTGGGTGGGACATGGCACCTGTGGATTGGTCATCTCTGAGATCTTCAGTGTACTCGCAATTGATCTCCTCAAAGTCCTGTTGTCGTCCGTTTTTCCTTACTCCAACGGGTTCCGGTCCGATCAACGCTATCCTTGATGCAACTACGTCGATAGAGCGACAAACAAGGCAATAAGCAATCAATACTCCAAAAAAGGCCAAGACACAGAAAGAACAGACGTCGCTGAAAGAACACCAAGGGAAGAAGACTTAGCCCTCTCGGCGGATGTCCGATCCCTGGGCCAAAAGAAACAAAAGTGGTTGTTTGCTAAGCACAAGCTTAAGTCTTAGCCTAGCCAGTACTTCTCGCGTCGATCGTGTCGGCCTGTACAGCTTCAATAAAAATGGCATAGACCCTAGCTCATCTTAAGCGAACACCACGGCTCGCGGTCTTCCGTTCCGGGTGTCATGGAGATTGACGGGAATCGAAAGGAGCGGCTAAGGGGAAAAGAAGCAGTTCCGGTCTCTCCCAATACTTACACCATTATAATTGACGAGAACCAAGAGAGGGTGGAACGGGGAAGAGAAGAGAAGGGAGGTGGTCTACTTCTTCCAATCCACACACCATGGCAAGAGACGGGGCATCGAAAGGAGCGACACACAAGAGGACACGAGTACCCAACTACTTGTAGGGTACCACGACCTAGGTGCACTAAATGCACTAAGACATCTCTAGGGTTCTTAGCGGTGAGGTTGTCACCACAAGAACCAAAGAAATGCTACGGTCTAAATAGGTACAAGCATACAAGGGCTTAAGCACGACAGAACCAAAAGAGGGGGACACGGGATTCAACTTCCTTTGATCCACTCACCATAGCAAATGACGGGAATCGAAGGAATGGAATCAAGAGAGCAATGAACACCAAACAAGCGAGGGGCTCAATCACATCTTACTGGATCGACGAGGATTGAGAACTAGTGAGGAGAGGAATGGAATCCACACTTTCGACCAACTCGACATGGAACGGATGAAGGTTGGAAGAAAGGAGACACGATCCCACGATCCAAACCCACTCGTAGGGCACCATGACCGTGCAACTAAATCGGCACAAGGCTATCCCTAAGGTCCGTAGCGATGCGGTTGTCACCACTAGATCCAAAGGAACGCTAGAGTCAATGTGGTACAAGCATACGAGGTGGTTAGGATAAACAAGCAAGCAAAAGAGGTAAAACCCGATGGTCATGGCGAGGCAACTCGCGACCATGAACTTCTCCCACACGAGTCGGCTTCGTAGTTCCGCGATTGTCATCCCCCAATTCATATCCCACTAGAGTTGGTCACGGAGGGCTCGATATGTGCGGGCAAGAACCGCGTCGATATCGACATCAAGTCCACAATGGCCTTGTCCTAGGGACATGGATAGGGGCTAGCGATTGTAGTACGACAAAGCCAACCAAAGGAGCGAGGGAGCGAGTTATGCTCGGCGTTACGACTATGGCGGGATGAACCCATGACCAAAACTATCGAACGAAGTATGATCCCTCAATCGGCTCGAAGACACGGTCCCCAGATGACAACAAACGACACACTAGAACTAAACCAACACAAACAACACAACGCGACTAGATGGAGTGGCACATATCCATAGCACAAGGTTAGACCGGCGGCGAAGGCATGGCACAGGAATAGAATAGATATCATGTATGAAGTGTATGAACAAGTATAGATAACCGATATAGATGGATCATGTATAAGTATGAATGATGATATATAGATGTATGAGCAAGTAAATGAAATGAAAGTGGAGCTTTGCCGATGCCGAGGATGGCGTCGGCTAGGTTAAAAGGGGTCGACCTTGCTGCGATGAGGAAGAAGGGCTGCAGCGACACATTCTGGCGAACCACGGCTAGCTGCAGCTTGCTGCGGCCTGCTGCTGGCTGGCTGTGGCTAGCTGCAGCTGACTGCGGCTGGCCGGCAGCTTGCTGGACGCGGCCGAAGCTGGTCGGCGGGGTCTAGCAGCTGCTGCTCCTGACGATGGTGGTCGAGGGTGATGCGGACTGCAGGGCCGCGACCTCCCTGTGACAGTGAGAACATCGGCAGGAAGGCCGTTTCAGACAAGGTCGGTGGCAATGGAAAGGGAAAGGTGGGAACTTCCGACCTTGGGGATCACCGGAGGTGGAGCAGAGGAGCGGCGAGGTGGTGGAGGGACGCGGCTAGTCATGGCCGTGGCGTGTCCGTGGTCTGGTGGACGACGTCGCGGCCACGCTGGTCACGCAGCGGCGCAGCGAGAACAGGATGGCGCAGGCATTCGGCGTGGACCGGCTGCGATGTCCACGGCCACGGCTTAGAGAGGCCGGGGCTCTGCGGGTCGTGGCTTGGCACCGGGTGGCCGTGGTCGAGAGGCAGAGTGCTGCTACTACTCGTCGTTGGCGCCCCAGGGGATGACGCGATCAAAGGAGAAGGACAGCTTGGTGACCAGCTCGGGTCGGAGACGGTGCTGGTCATGGCACCGGGGTTCGCCGTGGCCGGCTGGTGGCGCGGCACGGCGAGAGCGTGGACACCACGAGGTGGAGCACGACGTGACGTAGTGCCTGGGTGCGTTCCTTGGCTCGGCATCGAGGAAGAAGCCCGGCAGCAGGGGCTCGACGGTGCAGAGGCCGCCGCGGTGCGGTGGCTCGGCGCGGACGGAGCGGGGGCTCGCGGTGGTGGCTCGATGGAGGGGAAGACGCGACCTTGGGGCTCGGGTCGATGTGGAAGGGCGTTCGCTGGGCTCAGGTGCAGGTCGAGGTCGGAGGCGGCGGCGTGGTCGTGGAGACGAGACCGAGGGCGTCGGAGTGGTTCCGGGCGCGGCCAAGTCAGGAGGAGGGGGGCGCAGCTCGTTGGCGTCGGCGTTGCTCGGCCTGGTGGTGGCGATCTGGGGGTTGGCGAGGAGGAGCTCCAAGGCGGAGAGGCGCACGACGATGGTGGGGCTCTCGTGCTCGATGAGGTGGGTCGCGGCGTCGCAGTGGTGGAGACCGGCACTACGTCGAGGCCGGAGGTGCTCCAGGCAGCACGGCTACGAGGTGGTGGCGCTGTGGCGCGGCGCCCGTGGCGAGCAGCAGGGCGTGCCGGGGTGCTTGGTGGAGAAGCTCGGCGCTGGCAGCTCACGGTCGCAGCAGAGGAGAGGTACAGGCACGGGGAGGTTGTTCGTGCACGGCCGGGGTGTCAACGAGGTGAAGATGGAGTAGGCCACGGCCGAGGGGGCTCCGGCGATGCAGAACGGCTCGGTGGCGTGGTCGCGGCCGGCAAGACGCGGCCTTGTGGCCGTGCTCGAGGAAGGAGGGCCGCAGGGGGGCTCGGCGTAGAGGTGGCCTGCGAGGCGGGTGCAGAGGCGCGGCTCCGGTGCTCAGCTTGGCGTCTTCAGCGACCCTCAGCAGGGCGACGCGGACGCAGCCGGGGTCGGAGTCAACGAGCAGACGAGCGATGTCCAGGCGAGGTCGGCGTCGCGGCTCCGTCAGCGGCGCGCCCGCGGCCTGGTAGGACACGGCCGTGGCTGGCTGCGGCCAGCCGAGGGCGGTGGCGCGATGGCAACGGCGAGGTGGAAGCGCGCTGTTCCAGTGCGGTCGTCTCGGAGTGGAGCAGAGGGAGCAAGGAGGAGGAAGGAAATGGCAGCGGCTGGTGGGGACTCAAGCGATGAGCGACGGCTGCCATGGCTTTTTATAGCGACGCGAGCTAGGGCTTCACGGCGCGGACGGTGATGCCTCAGCGTCCGTACCACAGCAGGGCACGTGGCCGGCATCCACGGGCGGTGTTGGGCGTGGACGCCCAAAAGCGGCGCGGGGCGCGTGGCTTCCCAACCGGGCGGCGGCGGCGTCTGGGAGCGCCTGCTCCCGCTTGGGTTCGCGGGCAGGGGCGCGCGTCTCCTAGACTAGCTGGGCCGCTTGCGCGTGGGAGTGGGCCAAGAGGGAGTGGGGGCGAACGGGCTGCCACGCTGGGCCTGTTGGCTTGGGCTGGCGCGAGTGGGAGAGGCCGGACGGGCCAGCGGGTGAGAAGGAAAGAGAGAGGAGGAGCTTGGCCCAAGAGGGAAGAAGAGGATTTCCCAATTATGACTGAGGGTCCGTTCGATTGATCAAGAATGCACCAGAAATTATTCCAACTGCTCAAAACTTATATAAATTTGACAACCAATCCAGGCAGGAATGAATCCAGGGCAGGATTCACTACTAACCGAACGAGCCCTAAGGGATTTTTAGATGGAACCAAAATAAATTCGAGAGGGAATTCAAAAGGGGATTTGAGAAGGGAATTTCAAAAGGAGATTGGGAGAGATTCGAATGGGATTTGAGATGTAATTCAAAAGAGATTGGGAGGAACTCTTGCTATGGATTTGTGCACTCCAAACTCTAAGAAGACTCAAACATAGAACAAACTTGAGAGCACCGACACACTTCTACAAACAAATCTAAATGGATGCAACGATTTGTTAGTGAGTTAGACTCGGGTGTGACCTTGAACCTACATGCTCCACACATTGCAGGAAATTTTTTTAAAAGCTCGCATTTTTGGATGCTCAAAAACCCGGGTTGTTACAATTTGTCGCATGCACATATATATGCCTGAATTTTCATTTACATTGCCTTGCCATTTTTCCTTCCTTTATTATAAATGGCATCTTGACTTTTAGAACTAATTGGTAATATCCTCTAGATGTGTGTAACAAAAAAAAAACACCGTGAGTACAAATGCAAACGATCAAAACATTGCCTCCTGTCCCATTAATCATGCATGCCATATACTAGATTCAAGCTAACCACAGCAAGTAACAATATTTGTTTATTGCAGACAATAAATGATTGGTCGCAGTTTTCCAAGAGGATTCATTCTAACCACAGCAGTGCTTGCTAAGCCTCCCCTCTCTTTGTTGCTATTCACTTGTATCATCATCATTTCCGGCTCCAAATGATCGGACTCCCCAAGTGCGGTGTTAACATGAAGAGCATGTGTGTCCTACACAGAACCCATAATTCTGGGCCCCCCAGCAACGAACATGAGCTGCAAGCCTGCAAGGCAAGAGAAACAATGACGACGAACCATGTGCCGGTGAGAATTAAATCTCTGAGAGACGAATGGCACCACACGCCTGTAAGGGACCATTCAGGGCACACTGTGACTGTGCAATGGGCTGCCCTAGGTTAGGTTTGGCCTAAGCGCCCCTAGTTGAGTGTTATTAACGAAGAATTGAACAACAGATGAGGTTGAGAAGTAGAATACAGGTAAGAGGTAAAAGTTGCACCAATAGATTTATTGTGGGTGAGCAATAATGGCTTGTTTGCCCCTTTCTTATATTTTTATATATGTATAATAGTGGTGCTAGCCTGTGCTACATGAGAATATCGGACACCAATTACATTTTCAGAAACTCAAAATGTCCTTTTGGGTTCAGCTATTATTTTACCCCTAATATCTTGCTCTTGCTTTATTTGAACATAGGGAATATGCTTGTACGTTGCTATGGATGAATGCCACGTCGATATATTTTGAATTTAGAAAATATTTCAAGGAATCAAGGTCAATAGAAATCTTACACTCAACATAGAAGAGTGACACATAAGAATAATGTATACACCATTTGTGTATCCAATGTATTGATTCTTTTGTTTTACAAGAATGTTACAATTAATGTTTTCAACATTGTACTAGTACATAAGGTGTTGCATGATGGTGCCCCAATCATGCCTCCCCACAATCTCTGCAAAGCAACATTTGTTTTTATAACTGCAGCAGTTTTACAAGTCAACTAAACATGGACAGTGGTTTTGCAATCTCCAATGAGGGGTGCCCAATAAGTAACATCCAATGGCCCCATTCGCTTCGCCGAAAAAACAAGACGAAACACTGTTCCGGCTGATTTGTTGTGAGAGAAAAACACGGTTCCGACTGAAAAAACAAGCTGAAAAAGACGGATTATAAGAGAAACGAACAGGGCATGTTGAAGTACACGACCATTGCTTGCCACCCACAGCCACACCTTCAGTTCTTCCAAAACAGTTTCAGAGCAATCAATTCATAAATATAAAACAGGGAGAAATCATGTGAACATAAACCCACACATGATGGCCCAACAAACAAAGGGAACACACTAACGATGGCGTGGGAAGCAACCTTACCTCCCGTGAAGATGTAGCTGAACTTATTGCATATAGTGAGGGTATTCGGTTTTCGGTTTGGTTCCTCGGTTCTCGAAGAAATTCGGTTCCTCAAAAATAGGAACCAATCGGTTCTATGAAAGTTTGGGAATTGAACATTTCGGTTTTTGGTTTTCGGTTATTTAAATTTGCTTTTGGCAATAACTGAACTTATTAAGACAACAACAAAAATATGTAGGATCAAAAGCAAATTTGCGCAACACTTTCTCTATTTTAGATAGTAATAATTGATGAGGTAACAGTAGCAACCTAGTAATACAAATACATAGCAGTTCAAATTTGAGACATCACACATAAACCAAACATCGGTTTACAAAATATAAATAAGTGAAGTACACAATTCTTGTAATTTGGTTCTTTGAGTAAGAACCGAAGTAACCAAAGGAAGTTCAGTTCCTTGCTGCCTGGAACCGAACAGGGTACCAATTTTTTTCAGTTTTGGTTTTTTGTTTTTGTTAATTATGCTTACCCTTACGCATAGCTGGAAAATGATGAGACCAGCTATGGCCGAGATAATGGTGACCATCCACGTGGCGAGACCAGTGGACCTTGAGTTGCAACTCGCTCCCATTTTGCTGAAGTGGAAAAGGAAACCATACATCAACTGATCTATTGAACCAGGGAGCTTCTGCACTCTGGGGCAACTTCATTGAAAGTAACAGATCCCAAGAGCTAATTTGTGTGGTGTGATTGTGAAGAATTTTCCAATGTTATGTTTTTACCATGCAAATTGATGGGAAAACTAAGAATCACCAATCAAGTCAACAATTACCAATAACCGCTAAACTATCAATATAGCATTAGAATTTCATGTTCTATAACATTTCTCCTTACAAATAGTGTATCTCTAGTTCCATGACTTAAAGTGAAAAAAAATGTTAAAAACAATTGGTTAGAAGCCCACTAATAATTAATCCAATTATGGCAGTGGCATGAATCATTTATTAAAATGTCCTAGGACCAATCTGTGTGGCATAGTAGATGCCAAGTGTACATAAACCTCTAGTTTTCTTACTTAATTGAGCGGCAGAGCTCCTGCCTTTTCTTTTAAAAAAATTACTGATGCTGGCAGAGGTCCACTTCCCTGAAGCTCAAGGAGCTTAAGGGCATGTTTGGAGTTTGGTTCATGTCCAGAGCACATCACAACTCACCACACATCTATAATTAGCCTTTATTTGCTTCGCGGCCGAACTTGCAGTAACCTGTGGCGTGCCGCATCCATAAAGACCGCCGGCCCATTGTGATGATACACAAGATGTTTATCAGAGGGGCACGCCATAACTTGCAGAGAACATAGCCAGCTCGTCTGTACTGTACATATGCGACGACGAAATGCTGAACGCGTGCGACATGCAGACGGCAAGAGCAAATGCCCTACAAGTGTGGCGGTTGGGGGCTCATGCGCTGCCGCACACGCAGACACGAACTCCTCGTGGCCGTGCTAGTTGGCAGGAGCACTTCTTGGATCTGGTGAGAACTGCATGCCAACTGCAGACCGGACAAGCCAGATGATCATCTCTGCTCTGCAGAAGCTGAAGCACCCGTAGCCATGCAAAGACATTTCTCTATTTTCTATGAATTCAACAGTACTAACATTACATTCCTTGGTTCCTTTCTAGGCTTACTATTGTTTGCTAAGAAAACTTGAAATCAAAGGAGTTCGGGAGATGAACTTTAAAACATGCTGTGTTCAATCGGCACCACAGAATAGTGTGAATCCAAAAGCTCACTGAACAAACAAGAAAGAAATCTAATCTATTAAGATCAAAAAGAAATATTTTCCTGAAATATCAAACAAATACATGTAAGAATTCCTTGCAAAAAGAATATATACATGTCAGAATTGAAAGAGTGGCCGGGTTCAAGATGCATCACCAAATTCCATGAGCCGAGAAGCAAAAATCAGGGTAAATTTGAAGAGGGAGGCCTGGCATGGTGGACGAGAGCACTCTGGCTAGCCAAGAAGACCTGCCCATGCAGCCACATTGCATCATCCATGCCGCAAATAAAATTCACCTTGTGCAATCTCCATTCCTGGCGGAATTGCCAACAGAGGGCGTGCATAGGCAAGTCATTCTTGGCTACCAAAAGGGGCTCTCCATCTCCATGTGAGGCCTCCTCTTCTTCTTCTTCTTCACCTACTCTGTTCCAGGCCTTCAGCCATGCCTGCTAGCTCTGTTGAGTTTGGTGTTTGTGTGGCAGCACTGGTTGCATACGCCTGGTATTTATGGTGTGGGCAAGGGAGAGGGGTCAGGTATTTTGGGTGAGCAGCATGCCATATCTTGTTGTTCCGTTTCAAGGCTTTAACTAGCAGGCTAAAGATATTTAAATTTTAATAACAACCTCTTCCAAGAGCTACAGAGAGCTATAGCAGCTATAATGAAAGCTATTTCATTTAGTGTTTTATAATAAAAGGCATAAAAATCGTAATTAATTATGTGCAAAATATTTAATTACAAAAAAATAATTTCATGAACAAAAATATTCAAATGCATATATATAGGGCTCTAGAAGAACATGTCTTCGTGCCCACTACTTAACAATCATTAAAAATCTATCAACATACTCACGGCTACCAATATTCAACCATTCAATAATTATTCAGTGGTTTTTTAGATCATCTATTAACTAAAGAACACTATATGATAACATAGATTATGTGTCCTTTAGAGTAGTGCATGAATATTTGCCCTGCTTAGGATTAGCGATGCTAAAATACTTTGCAACTAAACTAAATAATAGTGTTTTTTTATAAAATGGGAGGGGTAAAAAACCCTTACTAGAAATTTATTGAAAAAAACATAAATACCCTATGAAAAAGTTATAACGGAGCTATAGCAAGCTGATTAGAACCATGTTCTGTTCCAATGGCAACAATAGTGTGATTCGTGGTGGTGGGAAGAAAATCAGTGGCTGGGATACAATGCGCAAGGATTGTAGACCTTTAGAGAGATTGTCTTGGAATTTCTGTGGATAGAGATCCCAAGTCCATGCTATCTAAATAGACATTTGTTCCTCAAACAAAAGGAATATAATATGGGTCTGAGACCACCAGCGGGGGTGTATGCATTACTTCATTATCAACTCATGATATATCTTGCTACGATTTTATCCAAAGAATACGTTGTGTGGTTTCAAATGGAAACAAAGCAAAGATGCTATTCATTGCACTATTGGAGAATGCTGATTCCATCTCTTCTTTATGGAGATCTCTTTATTACTTAGAGCATCTCCGATGATTTCTAAAAAGTCACTTGATAAATTAATGAGTTTTCCAAGGGACTTAAAAAAATTGGTAGCATATTTGTTGGCTTGCTCCAACAGTTTACAAAATCTCGCTCAAGACTAAGGTAATTTTATATCAGAAATCTCAAACTATTTCTAAATCACATCCACCACTTTTATATCTTTCTCTTTTATACATTTATATTAGTAACCCTGTCCTACTTCTTTTTCTTTGCTACGTCCTTTCATCTTTAGATTGGCACTATGATCCACGCGTGTATATATCCATGTGTGGGGGTGGTTTTCCCAAGTGCCAAAAGATTAGGAGGTGGGTTTGAGAGTTGTTGGAGATGAGTTTTTTTCAATCTTGCCAAAATTTCTTGGGAGATTATTTTAGGTACTCTTGGAGATGCCTGAGTTTCATTCTTTTTTTCTTTTAATGGTTGTGTGAACTTTATTATTAATAAAGCTTCCTTCACCTAAAAGGTTAAATAGATGCATATTTTTGCTATAGCAGCTAAGCAAAGATCACAATATTGTCCAGTAAATTTACCTTTACAGATGTGCCAAGTACACAACTTTGTAAGCAAAACCAGTAGGTGAATTGATTCGCCCATGTATTTGCTGCCCTTTTATGGCAAAACTTTATGCCGTTCAAAGGGGCAAATGCTAGATTCGAACATATTGAGCTGTCCTGCGGGTCGCCATAACCTAAAGAAGATTTTAACTTTCCTGGAAGAACTAGTGCATTTCCCTCCTGTAGTTGACTCCACCCATAATCTTTTGAAATCTCATGTTCACTGCAACTTGCCTACTGGACGGATCGAGATGCCCAATACACTGTTCATCTAACCAGTCGTTTCTCTCGTTTACGCACCGCTTAAACAATATACCCATTTACACCGCTTGAACAATATATGACAGCATGTCATTTTTGTTTAATCGATCATTTATCCAGTTCAAATGGTCGTTTCACCCATTTAAGTAACCGTTTAACCCAAATAATAACCAAACGACAAGTGACCTACTAATTACCGTTTGGCGTTTAGAAGAACACTGATTGTAAATGCATGCATCCCACACAAAGGAGGTGCGTATCATTGGTTATACAAGCATCACACATAAAGGGATCCCATATGATCAAAATATTCGATCTGATATTCAATCTCTCACTCCGACCGTGGAACAAAACGAGCAACTCCGCTCAGAATTACTATAGTTATTGGCACGTGTTTTATAGTGCAGCATCCCTACAAACAATACATGGAGACAATGGAGAGTACCACATTCTGTGCCATTTAAAAATGCCAACATCTGACCCAAAAAACCTAAAATAAATTTGCATCCGCAGGTTTGGTAATAACACATGCCCATAAGTTTAGAGTTCGAATGCAAGCAAAAAGAGAGTAATGCACCACAGTCGTTTATTTTACAGGTGGGGATTTCTACATCTCAAGTACCATGCTTGTCTTCAATGGAACACTTGAGCTCTTACTGCCTTCCCTGCACAATGGCAAAAGATTAAGTGTCAATGACCAGTAATAGATAACACAAATTAATACAGACATGCTAACGGGTAGTAGTAGACATGGTTCAGCAACTATCAAAACATCTCACAGGATCTTCAATTTGTGTCTGGTTTGCTTCTTGATACAACATACACAAAACTTTTAACTGTGTTTACAAATTTTAGTTAGCTTGAGTAAGAGTTCTGCGATCTGGTAAGCCAGTAGCCACAATGTGTGGTTGCAAGCCTTTTTTCTTTCTTTTCTATAAAAAGCAGATGGAACTATTTTTGCACCCAAAAAAAAAGAAATGTAAGTTAACATGCATGTTCCTCTTAGGAAAGGCTGCTGCAGAAAAAAGTTATAAGCACGTTTTGTTAAAACTGGCTCTGATGTATTCCAGGACTTATATTGTAGTCCTCTACAAAAACCAATTTAAACAAATAGAGCAGCATGGGAATTGAAAATTAACAAATTAGCTCACAAATCTAAAAAAATCACTTAACAGACAGGGTAGTCAGAGATCTGAACCTACACATAGTCAGTGTATGAATTCAATCTGGCAAAACACAGGGTGTCCTGGTTTAAACTGCTGTATTTCAATTCAAACAGTAATGGCAATTTAAAAGTGAAATTGTATATCGAATGCTCTCATACCTGCTAGTTTCCTTGTCCTTCACCTGGGCTAGGATACTGACCAGAACCTCTTTGCCAGTTATCTGCACCATATGCTGGTTTTGTCCCCTGTCTGCCATCCCCACCATAACTAGGATTCACACCAGGAACTCTGTTAGCACCTGGATTCGCTGATGGAGGTGCCTGCCCATAGTTACCAGGTGTTGATGATTGACCATAAGATCCAGGTGTCGAAGGTTGACCATAAGACCCAGGTGTTGATGGTTGACCATAAGACCCAGGTGCTGATGGCTGACCATAAGACCCAGGTGCTGATGGTTGACCATAAGACCCAGGTGCTGATGGTTGACCATAAAACCCAGGTGCTGAAGGACCACCAGACCTATAACCTCCTCCCTGCCCTTGCGGGAAGTTCCTGCGCTCTTGGGGGTTGTTATAACCTTGATCTTGTCCAGCCGGATTTACATGCCCTTGGTACTGAGCTTGACCTTGAAAACCACCAGGTGGTCCATTGTAGCCTGAACGGTCTGTGTAATCATTCCTTCCAAAACCTCTACCATCCTGCCCACCTTGTGCATAATTCTGCTGTGGGGCATAGCCCCTTCCGTCTTGCTGTGAGCGGTATGTCTGGAAGTTTCCTTGCTGTGGCGAGTTGTTCTGGTAACCACCTTGTGGACGGTTGTTCTGGTAATTTCCTTGCTGTGAAGGGCCATCCTGGTAGTTTCCTCGGTAGTTACGGTTCCTGTCAGTTCTTGATGGTTTGCTATAATGAACAGGTGGTGGTCTTGGAGTGATGACACCATTGTCATATTTGTCTCCTGGTGAAATCAATACATATATCAGAATGGTAACAAGCATCATGTGCTGGATGCACTAAAAACATAAAAATGCGGCATGTTTATGAATTCGAGGAAATTTAAAGATCACTTCATTAACTAATAAGGTATACAAGGAAAGGTGATTTGATTTATCAACTCGTAAATAAAAATGGGAATGGGACGGACCTCCGTACTCCTTTGTTTCTGGATATAGGTATGAATCAGGCAGAATGAAAACTACTCCAGGCAAACCTGACCAAAATACCACGACATGGAGGTAAGTACTATAAAAGTAGTAATCATATTAGTTGCGAGAAAAAAATAAATTTGATTTCATTAGCTACTTCACCCACCTTTAAACTTTTCTGACATTTCCTCGGTCATTACAGCCTGAAAACCAACATAAGTCGTCGTGCTAAGAGCATACATTCTCTTCTTGGCCTCCTCATAACTACAAGAAATTGAGAGCCCAGCAAATGAGGCAAATTACATTGATTTGTGAAATTAGTTGTTTATCTCATATAGAGATTATGAATTATAAGGGCAACAAGTCAATGATTTGACTAGTTGAGAGTTATGCCACCAAATATATACAATAGTAGAATTGAGCATCAAAAGGAAAAATAACTAGACAAGTTACAATTCAAATAAGTAATTATATACATCATATTACAATTTAAATTAGTATATATACATCATACGAACATTTGCATGGGGGCAATTAACCAAACATTAATCTTCGATCAGTGGCACAAAGATCGCAGCTAGTCAAACGCTGAGTACCATGTAAAGTACAATGCTGCAGAAACTAGGGAATGTAGACTGTACAGATGTGTGATCCTTGAAACTTGAAAATCATGGTTTCAAAGGCGACTAGCCATTAGTTTCAGGTGGGCCCTGATATCTTTCACATTCCAACATAAACATCCATGTGGACCTAACAATACTTTTGTTCCCAAACTACCCATGGAAATGTTTGAACCAACCGTAAACAAGAAAGGGAGTTAGATGGTCTTGGCACTATACACTAACTTTTTAATCCCACATCACATTAACACAAACTAATAAGCGTTGTTCATTGCAATTCTAGGAAAAACTTGCTAGCGTAATGTCCCTCAAATCACTCATGCTCAATATACAACCTCCTTAATTTAACTCTAGTCCTATCACCTGAAGGAGGGACATATTTCTACATCATTGATAATTACAGTACTTGATCTCAAGCACAACAGCATTTAATTGACACACAAGAAGTGGCAAGCATTTAATTGACACACAAAGTAGCATCCAATTTAGAAAATAAAACACCCGACTGGTACCATATAACCCACAAGGCAAACCATGGCACAACAAGATGAAGCAATCGCACAATTCAGAATCGCATTTCAGCGCCTAAAAGAACCAATTCACCGCGACAGCAAGCCCAATGCCCAAATCAGTACCGAAGTTCGTCGCGAAACAGGAATGAAACGGGGGAATCGGCTTGGCGTCATACCTCCCGACGACCTTGGCGAGTGTCTGGAGGAAGGTCTCGATCATCTCCTCGCGCGACGGCTTGGGGTCCGGGAACTCCATGGTGATGAGCCAGTGGTTGTAGTCGCAGCCCTCGAAGAGGATCTCGTCGGGGGAGATCTGGCTGTCGTCCGCCCCGAAGCCGGCCCCGCCCCGCGCAGCCGCCGCCGCCGCCGTGGACCGGAACCCGGCGGCAGCGCCGCCGGGAAGGAACCGCCACGGCGCCCGCGGGAGCGGCGCGACAGGTGAGGAGGCGGGGGGCGCGAGGGGGGAGGGACGGGCGACGGAGGCGGACGGGCGGAGCAGAGGCGCCGAGGTGGAGGCCGCGGCGAGGACCCGCCGGAGGCGCAGCGCGAGGGCCATGGCTGGGGGCGCTAGGGTTTCGGCGGCGGGGGGAGCGGAAGGTTCTGGGGGTTTAGGGTTTTCTGTTGGGGCTGGGGAATGGCGGTTTAGTAGTTGGCTAGTGGTTGCGAGACCGCGTCACTGATAAGTGGGTCCGGGTGTTTTCTCAAGCTCTGGCCCGGCAATTTCGTTTTGGTTTGATTTCCTGAGATCAGCGGAGTGCTACTGTTAGCGTGGCGTTTGCCACTGGCAGTTGGGCCATGAGTAGCCGTCCCATGGCGCCGGAGGCATGGGCTCATACTGTGACAACCAAAAATCCATACATCAAAAATACTAACTATAAAATTTTTTTTAAAACTCCCATGTGATGATGAGTGTCATGTATAGAAATCCAACCTAAAAGATGCATTAGGTCTAACCCCAACCCAAGTCAACACATAAGCATGGCATGTCATTTGTTAGTTATGTTTATTTAATTTCCAACAAACAAAGTGTTGCATATATTGTTAACTAAAATGGTGATTTGGATTTTCATCTGTTTTATGTAATGCCTAAAAACTCCTTTAAAGAAACACACCATAAAGTAATTATTATTCAAACCAAAGGATAAATGTGTAAAAAGAGAAAACTAATTCTATTTTTATATATAACAAACTACACATATGTTGTTATACAAAATAGCTAAATAAATTCCTAATATATATAAAAGAATGTGGTGGGTCTCATATCTAAAACCCCAATGAATATGGTGCACCAATTTGGAATTCGAATTTCAACCCAAATATGAATTCAACCAAAGGAGAAGAAAAAGAAAACAGAAAAAGGAAAAAAAAAAAAGAAGAAGAAGCTCTAAGCCCGCCAAAGAAGCAGCCCTAGCAAGCGACCCACAAGACGTTAATCAAAAGGCCGGCCTAACTCATGTGGCACACGCCAAATAGCAGTTTCAAAACAAGGCGTCCGCCCACGCCTTGTGCGCGCCTCGCTTTCCTTCTGCGCTTGGCCGCCACTTGGCCCCGCATATGTCAATTGCACCCCCCGCCATTACGGTGTCGTCTTTTCCCCACGCCTCAACCGCCATGCATGATCAGAAGGCCGACTGACAATGGCGGGGACGGGCGAGGTCACGCCGGGCACGGCCTTGTCCCCTTGGCGCCGCGCCCACGCAACCACGCGCGCGCCGTTGGATGCAATCATGCGCCTCCGATCGCCCTTGATCCCCATTCGCCGTTCGTCGAGCTCCATGGCCGAGCTCGGCTATAAAAGCCCGGCCTTGGTTGCCCTAGCGCCCTTCCATCGCCCCGCCGCCACCTTATGGCCATCCACCGCACACCCGAGCCAGAGAGGATAGAGGAAGAAGAGGGAACGAGTGAGGAGCAAGGAAGAGGAGGATCGGAGCCACCAGCGTCCTTGAGTCGTCGGAGCCAAGACGACGCGTCGTTTATCATCGACGGTTCGGCACTACATCGCGCTTCGCTTCTAGAGCTACACGGCCACGACCCGCCACTGCACCGCCATCCATTCACCGTCGGCACCTATGGTGAGCGCCCGACTCTCCCCTGCTTGCCGCCGGACTTTGCTACACCGGCCATGGCACTCCATACCGTGAGCGCGTAGGCCAAGGACATCTCCGGCCTCTAGGTACACAAGCACAGCACACTCACGCGCACACCCGCGACCACCTCCGAGCCCTTGGACGTCGTAGCAGAGCGCGTGCACGCCGCGCTCACGATGCCGCCGTCATGCCGTGCACCACCACTCGTGCACCCGGCCGCCTCGCTGGACTAGGACGTAGTCGTAGCACCGCCGTGACGTCTGGAGAACAGCCGCGTAGACCGAGTCATCGATAGGTGGCCATAGTGCCTTGGCCACGAGCACCAGACCACCACCAGACCTCTGCCATGGCCGAATCAAGCCGCCACCGTGGCCAAAGCCACTAAGGGCTCCAAAAGACCCTTCGACCTGCCCGACATGCCCGCTGGAGCATCGTGATGCTCACGCGCACCACAGACCTGGCCTATGCCGCTGCACCCGCGCCACCCCCGCACGCCGATTGTGCTCGAGCCACCGTTCACCATGGCCAGTGACCTAGGAAGCCCTATCCGTCGCCCTGACCCCACCGTTGCAGTCGCCATGGCATGGGAAGGCTTTTCCCCACCACAATTGGACGCCTGAGCCGTTGCGGGAGCTCACCGGAGAGCACATCACCGGCGGGAGCACGCCGGGGAGGAAACAAAGGATTCTTCCTCGCCGACCACCCACGCATGAACCCGGTGCTCGTAGACCATGCCCGAGGAAAGAGAGGTAGACTTGGTCCACCATGCACCCTGCCTTAGGTCCATAGACCAGCGCCTCTTGGTCCACCATGAGCCACGCTCACGCCCACAGCCTAGAAACGAAGCCCAGTAAAGGCCCAAGGCCCTGACGTGGCAGCGCCACAGCTTGCCACGTGTCCGGGCCGGCCTGGCCCAGACCGGCCCAACCCGAGCCCGCCAGAGCCCGTTTGAGACCCAGTCCGAGTTGACCGTTGACCGGTCAACGTTGACAGTTGACCTGGCCCCACATGACAGTGTCACAAAGACTCGGGACCCACATGTCGGTGGGTGACGTCGTGATGATGTCACGCGGGACCCACCTGTCAGTAGCAACACAGCCGAGCTGACGTCATGCTGACGTCACGATGACATCAGCTGCTGACGTCAGCAGCCCTGGCCCCGCAGGTCAATGACCCTGACCCGTTGACTCGCCGTTGACTTGATGTTGACTTTGGCTGGACCCACATGTCAGTGACCTAAGAGCCCCTGGACCCACCTGTCGGAATTGATGACGTTGATGACGTCATACTAACGTCATGCTAACGTCAGCTGGACCCCACCTATCAGCTCGGAACCGAGATGATGACGTCATGCTGACGTCCGTGGACCAGTCACAGCGTGACACGTGTCAGCCCAGGATTAATTCAGCCTTTTTCATTTTCGGAAATAGATTTAATCTTCGGAAATTCATAACTAATTCATGTGACCTCAGAAAAATACGAAACCAGGACCAAAATTCATCTAAAATCAAGCTCTACGCAATGAACCCATGTTTGAGTGCATTTGGCTCTTTTGAATTTTCATTGCATCTTTGTGCTATTCTATAGACGTCGCTAACGCGACTATAATGCGATCGTTTGCAGACTCGGAGGAGAACCGGACGGACGAGGATCGTGAGTACCGTGAGGAGTACGGAGATGACTACACTGAAGGTGCCACATCCCACCCAATCTCGTAGCACCTATTACGCATGGCTAAAATAGAAATGCTAGTGCTTTACTTTATTGTTATGATCACACTATGATAGGACTTGCATGGTAGTATGCTTTCTTGATGGCCTTTACCTTGACGCAACCTTACCCCTACTCACCCTGCTGTTAGGCTAGTCACACGCTCGCTACTATATTTCGTTGCTTATTACTTCTACTATGCTTGCACTATATTGATGCGTGGTGGAAACTGGTGTTATCTAGACCATGGGGAGAGTGTTGCGTGTGTGACTTGGGTGCGTGGAGGGTGAGGGTTGTGTTGACCAAGTTAGAGTATACGACGAGCCTGGGGCAAGTCTTGCCATGGGGTGCTACCTGGGCACCCCTAGAATGGATACCTGTGGTGGATAAATGGTATATGAGGTGGCCCTGGGTGTGATCCTGTGATAGAAGGAGCCCAGGGTGGAGGTGTTGTGGTGGCACGGTAAATGAAAACCCTGATGAAGACATTCTAGCTTGGTCATCCCTAAGGACTTACTAGTACTCAGATTCACCGGGAAGCCTTACGTACCACTCGCCCTATATGGTGCGGGACGGCCGAACTACTTGGTAGGATATTGCCACTACTGCTAGGTTGATAGCGGACAGTGTGAGGGAGGTACGGGGCGTGGAGGATTTCCTCCACACCCTTCTGAGACTTCATGGAGACCTAGTGGACCCGGCTCATGACTCACAGTTTCAGCCACCCCAGACTAGACTTGGGGTGTACTAGGGCTGGATGGTAGAGTGGCATTATCCTAGGCTAGCAAGCGGCCGGAATCAACCCAGTTGACGACGGTCAGCGAGGAAGACGGATCTTGTGGTTATATAAAACCTCTGCAGAGTGTATGGTTGATCGATCGATACATATGCCGACTTGTCAACTATGGACCTTTCCTGGGTTTCGCTTAAACTAGATAGTGAGATGAGTCCTTCTCTTCTCCCCCTGGGAGTGAGTGTTCGGACGTAGCCAGGGACTACGGGCCTTGAGACAGTGCCAAGAGGGAGTTGGCCTGTCGACTGAGTGATGGTATGGTTGTGGTATGGTGATGGTGTGGAGATGGTGGTGTATCGATCCCAGGATCGAAACCTGGCTCTGGACGGAAATGGGGTGGAATAGGTGTGGGAATGGTGTTAAAACTTGACCAACCATTATTATATACTTATATGCTAATACATAGGAAACCCCAGCTTTATAGGTTCCTTTTGATTATATCCAACTTGCATCCAATTTCCACAAAGCAATGCTCATAGGGTGGGAGTGGCCAGTACAAATCGTACTGATAAATTTTGGCACACAGGTTCTGCTGAGGAGTATAGCTCTGAGGAGTTTGACGGTTGAGGGGTTCGTTCCTACGCTCGAGTTTGGCAATCCTATCTTCAAGCTGTTCTGAATGAATGCTACTTTTGATTCCGCCAATGCGGCGATGTAATAATTTATGTAATTTCGCACTATTTGTACTCTGATATTATCGTTGTATGGATGTGATATTCGACTGGAATTTTGGTAATATGATCTACAACGGTCTTATTACACTTCGACTCTGTGGATTTCCCTTCGTGGAAATCAGGTCGCTTCACATATGGCCCGGTGCCCCGGTGGGCTATTTGCAACCACAGACACCGCACGTTGCCGTCTCCCGTTCTTCCATCTCGTCTATAGACGGACGGATATCGTGGATATTTGAGTTGTTTTCATATTTTTATACGGTGTCGGATGTTGAATATCCAGACTCGGATACAGACATATCTAAACTTCTTTAAACGAATTCGGTCTCGAATACGGTCGGAAAATATACCGTTTTCATCCCTAGACTGTACCCATGCGGCAGAGTAATTCATAAGGGCAGCAAGAGGTTGCCAATGAACAAGAATACAATATAAGATGTGCATGGGTTCTTAGCTACACTAAGCATCTGGTTCAAGAATGGGGTAGAACAGGACACGAGGATCACAGTTTCAATTGTTTTTGGTTTAAGGACATAAAGTCGTCCAATCATGAAATATTCCACATATATGCGTAGCAACCCCATCCCTTAGGAAAAAGGCCAACAAGCATGTCCTTGCTCATGTCATCGTCTTCCCCGCTACCTCTATTGTCCACTCCCTGCCATGGTGCCCACCGAGCAGAATCAAACAAGAGCGTGCGTGCCTAAGCAAGGGTAGGGCATGCAACGCATGCGGCCATGGCACAAGCGAGCATGGGGCAGGCGGAGTAGTGCGACGCAGCCCAGGCAGAGGTGGGGCAAGCAGTGTGGATGGGGCAGCACACATATGGGCAAGTGCCGAGCAGCGGCGGCCTATCGCTCTGCTCCGTGCGTAGGAGGAAGATTGGAAGAACATTGGAGAAATAAATCGACAACTAGGGCGTACACTAACAGTAGGGCGTACACTAACAGTGACAAACAGATCAAAAGTTATCATCATACAGTTCTTGTCGTCCCTTCTGTCAAATACAAAAGAGGGACGTCCTAGCCCCATCAACTAAGCATGGATATAGGATCATTTCGTCTTAAAAAGGTGAAATAAACCCATGACATGGATGTTTGTACCTAGAGTAAACGTAACCTAAGGATTGTTGAAAATGATGCTCACTACATAATGGGAGAGCAAGGAGGCCTATAAAGCATCTCATTTTTCAAGGATAAAAAATGTCTACAGTTGTATCATATCAACCTGTATCCTAAATTATAGATCATTTTAGCTTTTTTACTATATAATTTTTGTTGTGCACCTAGATATATCATACGTAATAAAAGCTAAATACCAAAAAGATGTATAAATTGGAATGGAAGGTGTAGTAAGTATATTAGTAGCATCGTCTCACCTCTCACGAGCTCATGCATCGAGGGCAAAGAGACAAATGCCAGCCGATTTCTTCACGGTGGTGGCTCAAGTGATCAAAGAAAGATTCCGCGCCCCCCCTACTTTTGGAATTTATACGCATTTTACACATTGACCCTTTGAATACTCACCTATTGAACTATAGGTCGTCGTGTGGCATGACTCGTGCTGCCGCCTCTGTTGCACGGCATGGATTCACCCTTCACCAACTCAAAGACATTTCTATTACTACTTGATATCGCAACAAGTCAAATCTTATAATAATGCTGCTATTTCCTGTTTTTTCATTGGATGTTTTTGTTGCACAGTGTATGTGGCACATTGGCTGTATGTGGGAAGATGTATATTATTTTTTTTTGCCTGATAAAAAAGTCTAGAACTCCCCGTTTCTTTCATACAAAAAAATCTTCATCGTTGAGAAAAAGGAACACGATTTTTTTTTTATTCTAGCAAATTTATCAATCCACCACGTCACACTACACACCTAGACGCCGACTGTTCCGTCAACTTCGTCTGACCACGCGCAAATAAAATTTAACCGAGGGCCTTAACGCAAAGTGGCGGGACATTCTTCTTCGCCCAGCCTAGCCCATCACGAGCGCACCTCACTTAATTACGAACCCCTCTGCTTTGCTAGTTTGCTCTGCTCCGCAGCCCCTTGCCACCTCAAATTCCAGCGAATCTACCTTTTTCTTCCCCCAATTCAGGCGGTTCTCTCTCCCAGAAACCAAGCCAGCCGAGAATGGTGGGATCCGACGCGCTGCAGTCCATCGTCTACAACCGTGGGTCCCTCCGCCTCCTTGATCAGGTGCGTTTTCTTTTCGTGCGTGGTGGTGGTGTGAAGTGTTGACGTACGGGGGTTTGATTCCGAGAAAATAGGAGTTCTTGATGGGTTTTGATTCTGAGTTAGTTTCGATTCGGTGCAGAGGAAGCTGCCGCTCGAGATGGACTACATCGACGTCAAGAGTTCCGCCGATGGCTGGTGAGACTGAGATTCTCTCTTCTCGATGCATATGCATCTCAATTCTCATCGTCTTTGATTGTCATGGGTGGAGGCAGAGCTCTCCCTACGGACTACGGTAGGGTGGGGCAGCTAGCTGCCCCTGTTAGAAAACGGAGCAGAGAACCCCGACTCCTCTCTTCTCCCCAGTCACCGGTGGCTGCGGCGGCCGGCGGCAGCCTCGGCGGCGTTGTCGAGCTGCCGACGGAGGAGGGAGGGATGACGGAACGAGAAAGGCGAAGCCCGTCGTGTGTCGATATGTAGGCCCAATAGACGGTGACCCAACGGAGCAAAGAAAAAGGCCCATTCTCTCCCTCGGTCGCCTGGCTCTCTCTGTGGACGATTCGGCCCACTCGGCCATCGCTGTGCGCGTTGCGCCGCCGCCGCTCGATGCTTTAGGGCTTTTATTTTTTCATCAAGAATTGAGGCTATTCTTTACATTTATACTTGTTGATGAAAACTGAATCATAGCTAACGTTTGGAAGCGAAGGGAGAAATTGCAGTGGAGCCACGTATATTGTTCTTGCATACAGAAACTGATCAATGCGGAGTGCAGGAGGGAGTATATTTTGTCGATCAGAAACAGGGGCGGATCTAAAAATAATGCTAGGGGCCATATTCGTTCATAGTTCCGCAATGTATCTGAATTTATTTGCCTCTCATCATTAGACAAGAAGTTGTCAGCTTGCTGTGCATCACTGGGCAGGATTTGTGTCCTGCTGTTTTTTTATCGTACCTGTAGATATTTTTTTTTTATACCAAAGACCTTGGTCCTACTTAATTGAAAGCACAAACAAGAGTTAGCTGGGGATACCAGCTTACAGTTTGCAGCATACAGACATATCCTCTCCACAACCTCAAAACAACCTCTCAGACCTATAAATAGTTTTATGTTATGCAGGCTTTAATTTTAGCAGTTGTTGGAGCTCTAAAGGTCAAGTTGGACAGGATCCTTTTTGTTTGTTTGTTTCAAACTGTTACTTCTTTTGTTCAATTGATTTGTATACATTTCTAATCGATTTGGTGGAGCTCATGATAACTGATAAGTTTCCTCTTGTCGCTTAAATCTAAAAGCGGTTTTGCTGCTTTTTGATTATCACAGTGACTTACTTTTGTGTTCAAGGAAAACAGTGACTTATTTTATGGTAGTTTCATCAATAGAGGTGTACATGGCTATCATGTATTCATATTGAATCTGTGATCAGTAGAAATTTTGGTATTCTGGATTGACATTGATCACACTGTTTGTATTAATAACTTTTGAATCTTGTGCGGCCTGAACCACTTCTAGGTTCGGGTATGCGACTACACACTCAGGTGCGTTCGCGAAAAAAGACATTGAACACACTGGAGAAGAAAAAACAGATACATAAATTCCAGCAATTGTGTTATACGCTCCCATGGTGACTGGAACCATTGAAATGTAACTAGTGATAAATACCACTGGATAATGCTTGTTTTATAAAGGGGGCGTACCCAGTGCAAAGAGCTCCCGCTCTGTGTGGGGTCTGGAGGAAGGGTGTCAGTGGCAAGCCTTACCCTCGCCTGTGCAATGCGAGGAGACCGTGACTCGAACCCGGGACCTTCCGGTCACAGACGGTAAGACTCTACCGCTTGCACCAGGCCCGCCCTTCATAATGCTTGTTTTATACTGAGCCTTAAATATTACCCAGGAATGCAATAAGAGACATGTTTGTCCGTGGTGCTCCAGCAATAGCCATAGCAGCAGCACTAGCATTAGCTGTCGAAGTTTCTGATTTAGATTTCATTGGTACGCCTGGAGAAGCAGCTTCTTTTGTTTCCAAGAAATTGGAATACCTTGTATCCAGGTAAGCAAAGTTCAACTTTTTTTTTTCTTTATGTGTACAATAAGTTTGGTCTTTCTGTTCATGTTATCATTTTGACCAGTATGTATATTTGTAGTCATGCATATGTAACTCTTTTTATTATTTTTTTCTGCATCAGCCGACCAACTGCAGTGAGCCTATCTGATGCTGCAACAAAGCTCCAAACTTTGGTATCAAAGGCAGCTGAAACTGCAAAAGATTCCAAGGCTATCTTTCAGGTGCTAACCTTGACCCAAAAAAAGTGCATCATTCTGCTTTCAATTGAAAACAAAAAGATACAGAATCATTATGAATAAACTATGTCTGTGTGAATTTACCATATCTAATGTGTCCTGCAACATCGATTTTCTGAATATGGAATTAATCAACCTGATGAAGTGACGATAGGAGATGATACAAACATGAAGCCAGAAATTACTTCTGTTGAATCAACACTTTTTGCAGCCATGACACTTCAAATTTCCCCTCAAGCTTTTACACTAAACCGTAGAGTTAACCTCATATTCTTAGTTCTTCTGAAGTTTGGTGAGAATATTGATACACATACACTGTGTATCTATATGTCATATGTTTGAAAGTTTATTGGTTATAGAATATAACTACTTAAGTTTGATCCTTTTTACACCAACTGAAGATAGTGTGTGCTGATTCCAGCTTCACCATGTTATTCTAGAATGTTGTGTTGCATTAGATGACTCTCTTTGATGACGAGGGAAAAAAGGTTCCTTCTTTGGTTTAGGTGGACAAATTGTACCTCTTGCTAACCTGTTATATATTTCCTTTGATCGATTAGGTCTACATTGAGGCCGCAGAGACAATGCTTGTTGATGATGTGGCAGATAATAAAGCTATTGGCTCACATGGAGCTGTATTTCTTCAAAGGCAGCTTGCAAATTCAAAAAAGATATCTGTTCTAACCCATTGTAATACTGGCAGGTAATTTGTAAATCAAGTTGTATCACTTTTTATCTATGTATCATGCTCAGATCCTTATGTAGTTTCACTTTATTGCTTTCTCTCTAATCCAGTCTTGCAACTGCTGGTTATGGAACTGCCCTCGGGGTTATACGCGCTCTTCATTCGGGGGGAGTTTTAGAGAAGGCCTTTTGCACCAAAACTCGTCCATTTAACCAGGTTGATACTCTGTTTGTAGTGCCATTGGACATTTGACTTGGCTTGTCAAATGTCAGCTTTTACATCTCTGCCATGATATTAAATGATTAGATTACTGAATATCAATTTATTTCAGTCAAAATTCCAATAGCGACAACTGCTTACGACCTTGAACATCTATTATTGAGATAAAAACATTCAGTGTTGTTTATGGAGATGTAACATGCATGCTGATTTACTGTCAATTTTCAGGGATCCAGGCTTACAGCTTTCGAGTTAGTTCATGAAAAAATACCTGCAACACTGATAGCAGATTCTGCTGCTGCTGCATTGATGATACAAGGGCATGTTCAGGCTGTCATCGTTGGTGCTGATCGAATAGCAGCAAATGGTAAACGTCCACATCATTTCTATGACCAATGTATAACTAAATATTCCTACTGTTAATTGTGTTTCCTTTAGGAAATTTCAAGGTGACACAGCCAACAAGATTGGCACATACAACCTCGCCATCTCCGCGAAGCATCACAGCGTCCAGTTCTATGTGGCAGCACTGGTAACTTCCATTGATCTCTCCCTCCCATCTGGGGATGAAATAGTCAGAGAGGAAAGATCACCCAAGGAGTTGCTGAACTCTGAAGGTGGTTTAGGAAAGCAAGTTGCTGCATCTGGTATATCAGTCTGGAACCCAGCTTTCGATGTTACTCCAGCAAATCTGATCACTGCAATCATAACAGAAAAGGTATCTTCTCTCCCCTTCTCGAATGTTTCTTTATTGATCAGCAATTTTGCAGAGAACATTGCTGGTATGTTTTTGGCTGACTAGGGGTTTTTGATTGATTTGTAGGGTGTGATCACAAAAACTGATGCTGATGGATCTTTCGACATCAAAGGATTCCTTCAGCCTGCAAAATAATACTCTCAAGCGTGGCTTGTTTTTGAATGACATAAATGCGTGGAGCGACACCATTGTATTCTGTTTTTCTCTGTACAATAAAATTGCTCTGGTGAAGCTCATGTGACAAGGATGTGTTCACGCCTATTCGGGAGTAATAAAGATCTTTTGAAATCCTTATTATAATTTCCTTAAGACTATATTTCTATATATAGTCCTTCGTGGAATAGAGTCGGAGATAACTTCCAAACGGGCACACAATTAGGAAAGAACCGCCGAAACAGAATACCAGCAACACCAAGTTGCCCATTCATAAAGAGGATATATATACAAGACATCAGAGTAAATTTCATTGGAAACTTTATAGTCCCAAGTGACCAACTGACAACTGAAGCAAGGTCATATATATGTGAATTTTGGGATGCCACGTCATCTATTTTCTACGAGTACAACTTAATATATATGTGAATGTTGGGATGCCCCGTCATCTATTTTCTACGAGTACAACTTATTAGGTGAAAATATGTTGAAAGCAAATTCAAGACCTTAGAAAAACAGAGTTATGTCCACAGCATCAGGTTTAGTGTTTTACGGATTGTTTCTCTCTCGTGTAATCTAGGTGTAACCAGATGGCAGGAATGTAACTGAACCCCTTCCGCAAATGAGATCAATTTGTATTTTCTTATGAGTCATTCAAAACTATGCAATTTAGCTTATAAAAACGCGGAGCAATACAGAGACGCTGGAATCAAACTAATCACGAAAATGCCGCAACTTTTTCGTAGTGACTTCAAATATAAGTCCATCCAATCCAACCATGATGAGCCGGAAATGCCCAACTCTTTTGTAGTGTCTCCGGAGTATAAGGGGGTGTTTCTTTCCCCCACCTAGTTTTGCCGACCCATGCGCGTTTGACCACAAAAAACTGGCTTGCAACTCCGTAGTTTCTTCGTAGTATAAAAGTATAGAAGAGTGTTCAGTTTCCGTCTAGCTTTGCTACCCCATCCATGTGGGCATGTGGCTCACCACAAAAGGTTGTTTGGTTGTTGCGTAAGCTGCTTCACAAGATTATCAGTTGATATGTATTTGAAGGGCATGTTTAGTAAAGCTTCAGATTCTTTGTGAAAATTGATTCTCTTAGGGACTGAAAAGGCTTCTCTACAATTCTTTAGAGTAAACTCTATGTATACGATGACTCTGTGAGTACAATGAATCTTGATAAGCTACTTTTTTTCAACTCCCAACTCCCTAATTTCTTTCAAAGAATCACTTTCACAAAATTAGTGTAAAATTAATTCTCAATAAAAACTATTTAGTAGAAGCTTCTCCTAGATTTAGCCTTGAAGCTGTTGCACAAGATTCCTAGTTAATATGCGACAAAACTCTTGACACTGTAGCATCCAAGAAATGAATCAAGCCCTCTCCCTTTGTACCATTATGCGCCAGCTACGGCAATGAACAATCATATATTTAGGGTTGGAAACAAACGAGATGCATGGGGGATAAACCCTCTCCTGTTTTGAAGTTCACATTTTATTATGGAAACAAAATCGAAATCAAGAAGGACGGAAACAAGAAAAAAACAGGATTCACTGAAAATAAAAAACAGGTCAATTCAAAAGGGCGGTCAGGATACAGAAAAACAAAATAAAAACATCAACATATAGAATCAAGAAACATGACTTCACATAAATTGGGTAAATTATTCTAATTAATATCGTAAAGTTCATAAGACGACGGGTATAAGACTGCAAGACCAAAGCCTCCAGGGCTGCTGTGGCATAGCATGACCACTTTTAGCATAGAGCTACTGTGGCATAACATGACCATATTTTCTAAAAACAAGATATCCTATATATAGAGATGAAAGTAGTATTCCCTCCAGCTTCCTAAAGGAAGTACACGGATACAGGAGAAAATTGCAATTAACGGACACCAAACAATGCGCTTCGTAATTATAGGACTACAATCGTCGACTTCGTTAAAATGACTTTTAAAACGTTGGCTTCTTATTTTAGATGACATTTGGCATATTTCTTCACTTTGTTAATCAAAATACATGTATTTTGGCCCTCTTGTGACCCTTCTGTCCTTCTACTTTTGTATCGTTGATCAAACATACCTATTCATCTACCGACGTTCCTCCTTCCCTCCGAGACTTACGCCGCCCTAAGCACCGACGCCGCCGTTCCTCCTTCCCCTCCTCCCGACGCCGTCCCCAAAATTTGTCGATTCCAACCCTGCATCGCCTCCTCTCCGTGTTCAAAGCCCACACACGGTCGTCCAACGCACCTCCCCACAGTCGTGTTCACCTCCCTCACCCGTGTTTCTTTGTAATATTTCCCCCAAATTCCACCACCACCAACCTCCTTGCTCACCACCGCCCCTGCCGGCCGTCGCCTGCTGTTCCATGAAGGACTAATCCGTCGGTCCACTGCTGAGCTATGGCGCAGCTCGCGGTGTGGTCGCTGCTGCTGTCCTTGCTCCTGGTCTCGCCAGTTGTAGCGGCTTCAGTTGGTATTGCGAAGCTCAACTCATCGTCGCCCCTCTTTGGCATCGAGTTCCCGCCATTCAACACCGCCGTGGCCGTCACCGGCTGCAACGGCAAGCTGCCGAGGAGGCGTTGGATGAGCAAATGCAGTCGGCGAGCCCGTCCCCATTGCTGAAGCTGCGCATGGACCACCGCACCGCCGAGGGGGGCAGGACACGGAAAGAGTCATTATTAGATTTGGCCGAGAAGGATGCCGTCTGCATCGAGACGATGCACCGGAGAGCGGCGCGCTTCAGCGGGGGCCGGATGCCGGCGTATTCGTCTCCGCGGCGGGCGCTGTCGGAGCGGATGGTGGCGACGGTGGAGTCCGGCGTGGCGGTCGGCTCTGGCGAGTACCTGATGGACATCTACGTCGGCACGCCACCGCGGCGTTTCCGGATGATCATGGACACCGGCAGCGACCTCAACTGGCTGCAGTGCGCGCCGTGCCTGGACTGCTTCGAGCAGCGTGGCCCGGTGTTCGACCCCGCCACGTCCTCCTCCTACCGCAACGTCACCTGCCCTGGCAGCCACAGCTCCAAGCACACGGCGCCACCAGCCCTGGCGGCCATAGGCGGCACCTCCGCCTCGCCTCATCCTCCTCCACGGTGTTGAGGTCAATGCCCGCCATGGCCCCGATCGCCGCAGCAGCTGGCTCCACGGAAGGAGCAGACGACGACATCAAAAGCGCCCGGTGCTGCGAGGGATGAAGCTGAGGAAGCGAGTGAAGAGTATCCGAGTAGGGCAGAAGGGTCACAAGAGGACCAAAATACATGTATTTTGATTAACAAAGTGAATAAATACGTTAAATGTCATCTAAAATAAGAAGCCAACGTTTTAAGAGTCATTTTAACAAAGTCAACGATTGGAGTTCTATAATTGCGAAGCGCATTATTTAGTATTCTATAATTGCAATTTTCTCCGAATACAGTTCTCGAGGAAGTATAGGCTCCTCAGGTAGGGTTCTCGTGTTTTCCTTTCACAATAAATCTACATAAGCAACAGCATAAGCCAAATTTTAGCGAAACAAACAAAAGCGCGAAGAACGAAAAAACAAAGAAAACGTAAAAAATGTCATTTTCGCCCTGTTTTCAAATGTACTGAAAACAAAAAGAAATAAAAAAAGTTACGATGACTATAAATACAAATTCCAGCGGACATAGAAATCGAGAACAGGAGCAGGATTTATCCCAAGTTCCCAACGTTCTCATACATTCTATAAAGATAACATGAAAAATGGCTATGAACAATTGTCCCAAAGCAACGGAAACTTAGGAGGAAAAACATGTACCATGCCTTGCATTGTCTAACCACGTGAACGAAAAAACACTATACCATAGGGTGGTACCATTAACACTCTTTTTTTTACCAAAAATAAAAGGACTTTATTCGTTCAACAAAGGATCGGATCAGGTGCGCACAAAACAAAAGACGAAAATAACCAATATCTTGCAACAACATGATATCGCCAGAGGAACCATATGATCCATCAGCAACAGATGGCGGCAACCCAGTACATCCTACATTTATTCTAGCACAAGGCAACACCGAGAGATGGTAACGCATACACTAATGTACCTAGAATACCAGCCTCTTGTTAAACGCTATTCTACACCCATGAAGAATAAAACCATAGGGGAGAATATGGGAGAACATAGAATACACAATTTACAGGGAAACTACTCTGCGGCGACGCCTATACAGGTGGGTGGGAGGGCAGGGGGAAGACACAAATGAGGTGCAAAGAATTAGTTGGCTGGCCAGACCCAGCCAGCCATCATCATTGGGGGGGCTACTGAAACCTCTACTAATTACACAGCTACAGATGCCAGCCGCTGGCTAGAGGCGGTAGGTGAGCGCCCCAGCACTATAGAAACGAGACTAGCACTATGGTGGCAATCTTCGCCGCTGTTGTGCCATCTTCGTATGAGCATGCATCCTATCAGCATACATCGGGAGGCGCCTTATCTCATCAATCTCTTCGAGAAGCTTTTCCTCGGTAATGTTATCTGTGATACTCCTCATCACCTGCAGACCATGCAAATAAACTGTAAGAATACTGTAGTGGTTTCACTTTCCCAACCAAATATAGAGTACTTATTCCAACAGTGGGCAAAATATGATGCTTAACCACCCACAAAAACAATGATGCTCAACTGTGAACAGAACAAGGCTGTTTTAACTGACACTTAGAATTGCTGAAGTGAACGTCTTAGAGAGCAGGATCCTAAAAGACGAAGGCAGGAAATGCAACTCGTAAGGAGAGCTAGCCATGCAAACAGAATACTATGATCCAATGTGACAGGCCAACTGTATTTTGGAAAATGGTTTTACCCCAATAGCAAGACCATTTCAAATGAGTACATTTAAATTTTCAAGCAAAGATCAAGATGAGATTTACATACAGCAATATTCTTAAAAGAAAATAAATTAACAGATGAAGTACAATAGAAAGTATATAAGAACTAGCCTTCCGGTATGTGTTGATGTCGTTTGGAGTCGATTTATCAGATCTAATACGCATACAGGCCCAACACTGTTCTTCCTTATTCCAGGAGCACTCGACAATCCTCCCAGCGACAGAGGATGGATCTATATCGTCTGTTTAAGTTTAAGAACAGCAATAAATATACGAATAGTAGGGCAGAAAAATAGAAACATATGTCGTTAAAAGATAATACTCCTAAATATTTTTAAATTTGTTAAAGAATATTATTTCAGCACTCTAAGAGACAAATAAGATGACTACACAATGAACGAGGTCATCATGAAAATTGAAATGCATGTTACCAGTAAATGCTATCCGAGCACCATCCATAAGTTTCTTTTTCCCTCTCTCATAAAGGAAAACCAGTTGACGATTATCATTTGTAAGCTGCAATAGTCAGACATACAAAACAAAACCCAAATTTCAAAATAGTATCTTCACGATGACTAACCCATTTAAAACAAAATAGTTAAAAATGGTCATAAGACCTCAAACAGAAAGTCCACAGAATTCATCTCAGGGTACTTCCACTTCAGAAGACCTTCATGAGTACGAGTTACATATGGATCATCCCAGCCCTGCAACAACAATTGAAGCATCAGCCAAGTAAAAGCAAAATTTACATGTAAATAACCACAGAATAAATAGTTACAAAGGATGTTAGAAGTCATAGTAAGGACAGGAGTTCCATATATAGCACTGTTTAAAATTACACATCCACAACAAAATGTTCTAAGCTATATATAAGTTTTCACAAATAGGAACCACTCCATGAGTTAACAAAAAAAATATATAGAACTTCAGTTGAAACAATTGCAAACAGACACATCCATACGTGAACAGTAAAAATGGAAAACAAAATATGTGAATTAACAAATGAGCAGCAAGAAATAAAGCGTTTAGCTTTATCTTGCTGTAAACACCATATAACCCCATGAGGTGCACCCCCACCCCCCAAAAACAAAAAACAAAAAAAAAATAGAAAACTAATCTCAAACAGAAATTTGACATGGGCATAACCAAAAATAGAAATGTGCAGTTACAAAATAAGTCCAACAAAGATGGGAACTGTAGCAAATAAGTATCTGTAAATTTTATTTATCAAAGCACTGCACACTGAAAATACAAACAGCACTAAAAAATGACCATTATCAGGCCCATTCCCACAATAAAATGATCTATTCCCAAAACCATACAATTCGTCCGGTTGAGTCCCGGTTGCACACAAAAACTAAGTAGACCAGAATCATCACATTTACTAGTTACATTGCAGCCAAATAAAGATATATTAGACTACTATAACCATTTCTGTTCTTGTTTGAAATACCACAGATTGCACCATACATGAAGGCCATATAAAGCAGACAACAGGCCTTAACATCTTCATATCATAATAAACAAACAGAAAAAGAATCTTACCTGAAATATAAGGCCATCAGCATCATGGCAAAGCGATGGAATGAACTCCTTAAGAACCCTTTTTACTGTTGAGAGCAGCCAAAAATCCTTTCTCCTAACCTGGTAATGTCATATAATAAAAAAAAAAAGGAAAATTAACTCTGCAGGACTCATGAATTGAACATCATAATTCAGAATTGGAAAATCCTAGAATCCGATACCGAAAATAATTCCATGTCATATTTGTACAACGGATTGCTCTTAGCACCACTCTCAAATTGCTTTTTCTCATGATAACGTGGTCGTATTATTTCATCTTCCAGCATTTTCCACCTTTCAGAAAATGGCAACTGCATACACAAATTTCCATAATTAAATATAATCCCAAGCCATACTAATGTGTGTTTATATCACCCTACGGTACAATAGAGCTTCTCACATATAGAAGTTATAGCAGAAAAAAATAAATACACCCTCAACGTTCACTAATCGTGTGGCAACATGAACCTTGTAGGCCGGTCTGCTAACCAGACTAAGGCAAACATGATTATGGCAATGATGAGCAAAATATTGATGGTGTGGACATAGAGTGCAGGTACCAAGAAATAATTCAAAAGGATGCTTACTACATCTCTTTTCTTTACTAAGTGCGCCAAAGTTTCATGGATAAAAGAGTAAGTCGGAAATAAGTAAATAACAAAATGTTACTCCCTCCATTCCAAATTACAAGACATTTTAGGTTTTTTTTAGATACATAGCTTTTGCTATGTATTTAGATATACACTATGTCTAGATACATATTAAAAACAGTGTATCTAGGAAAGCCAAAACATCTTATAATTTGGAACGAAGGGAGTATATATGATTCCACAACATATTACCTTAGTTTTGGATACTGCGCCAAGCGCCATAAGATCATATGCCAAGTACCTTCTCTTCAAGCCTGAATCTGGTACCGTGTCTATAATCATCTCTCCATCAATCAAGGTCATATCATGCAGACCCTTCATAGCAAAGAAATAAGATTAAAGTTTTGCAATAAGAGGCATGTTCTATGATTGTTTCTCCAGCAAAATCGGAACCTTACTTCGAGGCTCTTATGGGGAAAGCGCATCTGAACCCTTCTGAAGCAAAAATTCCGATCAATCAAGAAACAACCATCTCTCATTATAAGCATCATATATCGTGTTCCGTCAGCTTTCCATGTAGCAAAGTAGTATCGCTGTCTAAGTAGTTGCAGATTTTCACTGAACAAAGCAAAATGAGTGCATTAGATAAAAAAGGACATATATTGAACATATGAACCTAGGACCTATACAAAAAGAACCAACACTTCTAATGCTCTGAGAATAGAAATTCTGAAGCAAAATATCAGCATTGGATTACAAGGAACTCATAACAAGTGTGAAAGAATTCCAAAAAAACCTCCATGATGCAAAAAAAACCTGCAACACTTCTAATGCTTATTTAATGCATCCATCTGCCTAACCCTAGGCTTTTTTTAAAACTTTATAAAAGTTAGCATGTACTAATGGTTCCTTACAAGATTTTCTATCATGTCCTTTATATAACATAGGAACAAAAAATATCATAATGCACAAAAAAATGTAAGAGAAATTTGAGTCACTGGTTGATGTTATTCACCTGTTAAGAGAAACTGGATGTGATCCAGGAAATTGTGAATGCCCCCTTCCCTATGAACAAATAAAGGTGATCAGACCACTCTAAATAAAAAGGCACTACTTGTTTGAGAGCAACACATGCATAAACTTGCAGAAATTTATGTTACAAACCAATCCAACTCAAAGTAGTGCATAGAACAATAGATATAAAACATGATATATCTATAGACTGAAACAAGTTTAATCATGACGAAATTCTATTAGTTCCCAGCATTTCCAAAATGCCATTTCTGAGCCTTGTCAACATGTCAAGATTCCAGATGGATTACGTCGAAAAATACATTGTTAATGTAGCACAAAAGTATTTTGCCAGCCCAGCATGTCAAACTCACATTCTCAGCATGCATTGCATGACATGAAATATTCATGCATCTGCACCATGCTAACTTTTAAGTTACGTTCCCAGAAATGAAATAGTTACTGAAGATGGGTTTGGTGGTATTAGAACTATATTCTACAAAAGGTTATCAATTATCAGTCCATGTTTTCATTGTAAAGCATATATGAAATTAATACATAATATATTGGGTAGAAGTAGAAATAGCCTACTTACAAGGGGCATTTCAAGCAACCGATAACATAGGATACGCAAAGCTTCTTGCTGGTCATATGGCACTTCATCCCCTAACACATCGTCGTTGGTGATTACTTTATCCTCTGATTCATTCTGCAAACATATTGTGGTGTCAAAACATAGCATTGCTTAGCAATGAAACCGTATAGTGAGGTAATACCAAGGGCAAAAGCAATAGTTAACTCTATCTCATGAACAAGATAAGTAGATCTGATAATTTCCTATAAATTTTGAAGAAAACACTTACACGCAGTGGTTCAGGATCACCATTGTCATCATCGTCATCCTGCTTAGCTTCGCCATTTAAATCGAGATCATCTGGTCTCTTCCATTCTGGTGTTGGAGGGCATGCTATCATCATATTCTCAGGGACCTCATGGTAAAATGAATACAGTGCTTCAATATAGTCCCTCTTGTATATGCCAGGTGGCCGCCTTTGAGCAAATATATTTATCGCCTAGAAAAAAACAGTCACGTAATACTGAAGAATAGAATCAATCAAATATCATTTGGGGTCTAGTATCCCTACCTCAGCAACACAAGAGACGTGTGTGCGCATAAGGTAATGAATAATCATGAAACCCGTACGATTATGACCATGGGTACAGTGAACCAGAATATATTTAGGATTCTTTGATTGTTTTTGTCGATCCAGGAACATCATTGCCTGAAAGAACCAACAAAATTTGTTAACAAAATTTGTTAACGAAGATGCCTTACAGGAAGCTTTTCTTAAAAATGGTGGCTATTGACCTAAATAGGCATTTTGTTCTACACAGCGGAGATTGACAATAGTTGGGAAATTATCTATACCATTTACACCCAAGATGGTTCAGGCAAAAAGAAAATGACCAGGTTACTGATAAGAAGTGTCCAAATCAATTTGTTATAGACAATCCAGGAATATGAAAATGCAAAAAGGTGCAGGCCCCTTTGAAATTAGTGATAGCCCTAACTAACAGGTATGGGAAGGAAAATGATGAAAGGAGAGGAACCACTGCAGATTGTTCCTTCATTCAAACTTGCAAAGGTTGCATGTACATGAGGTAGTTTGCTACAGTACCGACCTGCTGCAGTGCTAGTACATCTTATACATACAGCTAGCAACAACTATGTTCTTAACTTCTTATACACAAAACAAATTTTGCTCCTTCACTGCCCCTGCTGATTCTACTACTACCGCAGCAGTTACAACGAAGCCTCTAGAGGACAGTAGCAGCTCCTCCCAGCTGTTGCTGTGCATGTGTTTCAGTAGTCAAAACCAAATTGCCTTTTTACTCAAGAAAACAAATTACTTATCCAACAATTAGCAATACAATGAGCATGTAGCAGTCTAGCAGAACATAGAAAAGGTAGAAAGTGTAAAGTGTAAAACATCACACAAGCCTGATGGGTGACGACAATGCCATAAACAATAGGCCTAAGGGCTAGCAGATGAGAACAGAATATCAAGAGATGGAACGTGTTCGCCGTCAACAATAGGCTCACAACAGCAACTAAGTGCGATTAAGTGGATTTAGGGATGAAACAGGACGGATATTCCCAATATCCATCCGATCCAAAAGGGTTTAAACCCTACTTGGATAATCCATATATGAATCCAGAGATTTAGTATCCGTACCGTGTCTGAATAGGCGAATACTCAAAGTTGGATTTCTGATACATTATGACATAAGATATCAATATCTGACACATCTGACAGTATCCGTATTCTACTCCAAATCCTGGAAAGAAACGACTATCCATATTTGGTATCCATAATATCTATTTGTGGATCCGGTTTCATCCCTAACTGGATTGGATTAGTTTGTGCTGGATATGCCTAATCGGCAACTCTTTATAAATACATAGGTTTGGTCCATTACAACGAAATCAAGCTTACAACCAACCTCACCAACTCTAGTAAACCAAAACCAACAAATCTCCTAACAATCAGCTAACTCAACCAACAAGCCACCACCTAACAATTTCCACTCCAACTATCCTCAGATTCAGATAAGCACACCTTTATCCTTGACGATATGCTTCTTGCATCACTCATATTGCCAAGCCAGGCATCCACAATAAGGTAGGTAGAATAAATAAAATAACTTGGAGCATAAGCAATGGTGCCCAGGGGTGGAACAGGAAACAAAATTATTGACAGTGTCGCATCAGCCCCCCTCCCCCGCCCCAAAAAAAAAGAAAAAATGGACATATATAATATCCAGAGTCAAATATAATGCTTTTGCAGAGGTATGCATGATTGTACCTCATAGACAAACTTATTAACAGATTCATTGTCAGGTACAGCATCTCTCCCCTTGCATGCAATCTAAAACAGAAACTTTGTTAGTTAAGAAAAAGGTCATTGAGAAACAAGAAAGCATTTAAGCTAAGCGATCTCACCTTCGCATGCTTAGTACCTTGCCTCGTCCATTCTGCTGGTGAATAATACCGGGTGGTATTTGTCAAATCAATCACCAGACCTATCTGAAATGGGAAAACTAAAAGTCAATACAGAATGTATGTTCTGTCAGCCTAATTAAACGGCTATTTTGCACAATATTTGGCTAAACGATGTGTGACCGATTTTTAGCATTTAGGTGAGCACTGATGCATACCAATCAAAGTTCAAAAAGGTGACGCCTTAGGTGCGCCTAGGCACGACTAGTCGCTAGTCGATGGGTTCCCACCTGGCCTATGGGGGTGTAGGCGGACATCCAGGCGCAAGGCGGCGATTCGGCGGGCTAGGCGGCGATTCGGCGGGCTAGGCGGCGCGGAGATGCGAACGCGCGGAAAATTGCCGCAGCGGGAGGTCGCCAGTGGGGGAGGAGCTGCGAGCGGCGGCGGCCGCAGGCGCGCACTAGAGCAGAGAGAGATGCGGGAGAGGAGAGGAAGAGGAATCGGTGGCGGCGGCTGATGCGGGAGGAAGCGGATGCGGCTTGCGGCGTCGAGAGGATGCGGGAGACCGAGATGCGGCGTCGTGCGGGAGACGAGTAGATGGATAAGGTTGGAGACCTGGAGTGGGATAAGGATGGAATAGTGGGCTGGACTGTTGCCTCTTGGGCCTTTCTATCTATCTACGCCCACTATTCAGCTGTTTATTTTTTCTTTTAGAATATAAATATATGTATATTAGTATATATACAAAACGCCTAGAAAAACGCCTTGGAACGCCTAGGCTAGCCTAGGCTGGCCTAGGCGCTAGGCTAAGGGTCAGCGCCTAGCGCCTTCTTGAACTTTGATACCAATGCACATAACAAAAGGCATAACGAAGAAAAACGATGATGAAACAGTATTTTAACACTATACGGAATTCCACAAACCCCACCTACTGATACCATAAGCCTAAGTGATTTGCCATCTATGTGCATATGGAATACATGCCGCTATTTATGCAGGGGTGTCTGGGCAAAGGGATGATAGAATATCGAGGACTAAATATGATGAGCCACAAACACGATGATAATCAACTAAAGCCATATTTATACAGCTATCTATGCCATCCATGGATGCCGCCTCCCAATCCTCGACACCACCGACAACCCACAACCAAGCAAACCACCTGAGCCTAAAGATGGCAGCGGGTATGATACCATAAGCCTGCACCCGACTCCGCCAAGTGATTTGTCATCTATGTGCATGTATGCCTGTGGGCATGCCCGCATGCCGCGGTATATTTATGCACACTGCAAGGGCGACGACGGCCTAGGTCGGAGGCTCCGGCAAGGGGGATGATCGCCATGAGAATATCATGATTAAATAGGAGAAAGCAGGCCGATGAGCTAGATCAAGAGTCACGAGCAATGGGAGCCAGCGGGAACTAATAATCAACTAAAGCCATGGGGGAGGCGCGACGCCTGTGTGAAGGAGCCATATACCTGCCAGCGTGTGGGGAATGGGGAGGCGGGTCGCGGTGTGACGGGCTTGGGGCGTTAAAGCGGCCGAGTGGCTAGGGGCTATGGCTTGGATGCCAGGCACCCCCAGTCGTGGCCTCGCCCGTGATGGCTCGGGAGGCGCGGCGAGGCTGCATGCCGAGCCTTGAGGCGAGGTGAGAGAGTGAGACAACGAAGGGGTGGCGAGGATTGGGGGGTGGGTGAGTGGGGTGGGGTGTGGAGGAATAAACCCTAGGAATTGTGTATATATACATATATTTGCTTGTAGGTCCCACATGTCAGATCTGTGGAGCGGGTGTGGCGGATACGCGGGCGAGGATAGCAAATTTCTTTGCCCGCGAAGAAGTATCCTCCGGGTTCAGGATGGTGCCCGCGCCCGTACCCGCGGGCAAGAAATGGTGCCCGTATCCTTGCCCATCGAGTTCCATGCCCGCGGGCATGCGGGCATTCTGTGCCCGTTGCCATCTTTAGATGAGCCCCGCTGCCCACAAGCACCTACGGAGATCTGTAACCCCCACACCCCTGAATTCCCCCTCCCTCTATACTGGCCTACTCCTATCTAGATAGAGCTCCACCACCAATCCCTCCAAAAGCGGACGGAGAGATCGGCCGGTAACTGGACTGGAGCCAGCGAGGATGGGAAATGCGGGGGGAGAGCTGTCTGCTGGTTCCCCTCATTGTATTTATTTCTTCTGCATCTGCAGTCCCTCCCTCCCTTCTTTTGGCTTAACGCTTTCTCACCTATGTAGCAACTAGGCCAACGCATTAAAATACTGGTTCAAAATCAACTGGAGAACATAACACTGGAGTGCGCACCACAAAGAACTAATTGTTCTGGTTTATGTTAATACAGATGAATTCACCCTTTTGCCTTCTTTTGCTATTCAGGGGCATCAAAGGTGACGATGGCACTGGAAACATTTGGAAGGATCTCAGAGCATGCAAAGATGGTATATCTGTGCAGGAGAAATATCATTGTAGGGCGAAGACAAGGAAATGGAAGGATGATTTGCTGCGCACTGCTGGCATGAGAATACACAAGAGAAGACAAAAAAAAGAAGGCAGTTGCACATTGCTCCAAAAAGGTGGGTTCCTAACACACCTATGTGGTACCAGACAACTAAGAACAACCCTCCCATCTAGCATGCATGACCATCTAGCCCACCCAGTGCTGATTAGGAAATAAATGCCACCTAACACCTCTTCTTTTCAGAAGACTAGGGTTGTAGACAAGAAAAGAACTCATTTCTAGGGGCAGAATGATGTCAATGAACCAAATTTCTGTATACAATAAATGTTAAATAGAAAACGAGACTACCTTATCATGATAATTAATTAGTATGGTAGTAGGAGGGATTACAGTATGGTCCACAAGCCAAAGGGCGCCTAGCTCAAACAGTTAGGTGACCCAGCGGCACTCCTCAGGTCCTGGGTTCGACTCCCCATGGGAGTGAATTTCAGGCTGAGGTTAAGAAAATCTCCTCATCCGTCCCCATAACCAATGCACTGGGGGGGGCACCGGCCCAATTCTCGCTTGGGCGACGGAAAGCCACCGTGTAAGGGTGGGGGCGGGGGTTCGGGGGTTTTCTCGGCCGGGTGAGAAGGTCCTTCTTATTTGTAATGCTGCGGGGGCAGTCTTAACCCCCCCGGTCGAGTTTTTTTTTTAGTATGATCCACAAGAACAAGCAAGCAATACTTACTTCGCGGCCAGCTTTTCTTTGTTTGTTAACTAGTTGCTTTGAGGAGTATCGCTTCCCAGGAGGCACTGACTCATTGAATGTTTCATCAAGAGGAACTTTAGATGGTATTATTTTATCTATTGGCTCCCCAAATGCAGGACAGTCCAACCAGCCTGAAATCGCACCAAGATATTATATATAGAATCCACATAGGAAAAAGGATAGTGGAAGAAAAGAATAATGAATAAGTAGGGGGAACACAAGGTGGAATGTATCAGTAACCCAAACTATTCAGAAAATTGCCCAATACTTCGTACCCTGAGGTGCCTCTTTAAAGCGACTATGCCTTTTGGGTTGAGGAGCATAATCATTCCTAATCTGCTGGGAATGTAACCTTGACCCATCAACCTGCTGCTCTCTCTTTAGTCTCTTGCGTCTCTCTTCACGCTCCTGTCAAAAACAGCAAGATCACATAGAAGGTATGGTTAGCATCGATAAACCAAGCTTGCAGGCTCGATATGGTTGAAAAGAAAACTAAAATGAACTGTTTAAAAAGCCGCAAGGCCCTTCTTCTGGCACATAGATAAACAATGCATGCATACCAGCATGTATGCAACATAAAGGCAGCCAACGTAAATCACCCTTCAACAAGGAAACATATTGAACTTCAAAATCATGGTTCTACAACAACTATGCTCACAAAGCAGGCTAGACAAGCAAATGTTACAAGCGCTTGTCTGTACAGTGAAGCGTTTACGCACTCTCGACCTTGTAATGTGCAACAGGTACTTCAGAACTTTCAATGGGGAATGTTTCGCCCCATCTCTGTACTATGTTTATAACTAGTAATAAATAACTTTACCTGTTTAAAAAAAACAACTATGCCCGTGGTGCACATTAAGATAACAAATTGTTCACATATTTAAGATATAGAGAGAGAGAGAGAGTTAAGAGATTCCCTCGCTTTCTGGAGGCCATTTCCTTCAGCTAATAATGTCAACCCAGCAAAGGTAAACGTGGGTACTAAACAACATTTATCATAACTAATCAGCAATCATTAGTAAGATCCAAGAACAGATATGCCAAGGGCACAGTACATGGAATGAACATCAGCACCAATGAAAATAGTTAGTACCCGGCGCAATGTTGCGACAGCAGATTCAACATGTTCCTCCTGAGCATACTCAACCTCCACTGGCTCATCGTAAGGCTGCTGCTCATCATCATCAGGCACCGGCGATGCGTTCAAATCCATATCCATAGAGAAGGTCATTCAACGCCCACTACTTCATATATTCTGCAATCGGTTCGGTTGGACTTGCACCTAGCAGAAAATGGTGTACTCAGACACTTATGTGGACAAAGAATGAGTATTAGAGATGTCCCAAGCTACCAGAAGCAAATAAACTGGCATGCATTCAAAGAATGAGTGCGTCAAGAAAATGGTGTACTCAGACACTTATGTGGAGAAGGAATGCGTATTAGAGATGTCCCAAGCAACCAGAAGCAAATGAACTGGCATGCATTCGAAGAATTAGTGCGACGAAAAAATGGTGCACTCAGACACTTATGTGGAGAAAGAATGAGTATTAGAGATATCCCAATCTACCAGAAACAAATAAACTGGCATGCATTCAAAGAATTAATGTGACGAGAAAATGGTATACTCAGACACTTATGTGGAGAAAGAATGAGTATTAGAGATATCCCAAGCTACCAGAAGGAAATAAACTGGCATGCATTCGAAGAATTAGTGCGAGGACAGCACGTGCCGGTCCAACCCCCCGCAAGTATGGGGAACCCCAAATATGGAGGCGTCCCAGGCAATCATTAGAAGCGGATATATAGAAACAAGAATTAGCTGAAACAACGCATGACGAGCAAAGCGAGCCGCCGCAAGGAGCACACACACGGAACCAGCTAGGGTTCGCGAGCACGCGCCCAATTCCCCACGCCCCTGCTCTCCCGGAGCCTCGCGGGACCCAGTCCAAGAACCCTCGGCGCGCTGAGCTAGCGGAACCACCTCTCCCCGGGTAAAAAAAACACACAGCGGGATGATCGGGACCCTACCTCGCGCGGCGGGCGGACGGAGGTCGCCGAGGCCCGCCCCCCTTTCTCCCCGCGGGGTGCAGCGGGGCGGAGCGGACCCTTGACGCCGCGCCGACGGGCACGGCGGCGGGGAGGCGGGGGCGTTCGGAGCGGAAGCAGGGGAAGGGGGAGGGATCTGCGGGTTAGGGTTTGGGAGCCGCCATGCGACGGGCGGACGGACGAGACGAGGGGGGAAGCTGGGGTCCGAACCGAATCGGGTCGAGGGGAACAGCAGTGGCTCGTGGTCAGGAGAGGGCGGGGGATTTATGAGATGCCCAGATGAACTCGGTGCACCACGTGCGCCCGTGCGCCCTCCAAGTGGCGTGGATCCTACGGCGCCGGTGGGTCCAGCTCGAGGGAATGATGACGTCAACGACAGGAAAAGGAGTTTGCAACAGAAGGCGGTGCATGGGCGTAGGCAGACCAGGTGACAGCCGCACTTTTTGTATCACAAATTTTCTCTTTATTTTTTCCCAAAAAAAAAAAAAAAACACGGTCACGCTCCCTCACCCAGAATGAAGTGCTCGTACGCCGGAGTTTGAGAGGAGGGAGGAGAAAGAGAAGAATGTAAAAATGGTAGCTTTGCCTAACTTCTTTCTAACGCAGTTGTGGTCCCAGATTGGCTACGGGCGGATTTGCCCCCTTGGACAATGCCAGAGCCGGCGCGGGGGGTGGACGGCCATGGGGCCGCCGGAGCTGGAGTCGGCGCGAGGGCGGAACGCTGCAGGGCCGCTGGAGCTAGAGCCAGCGCAGGGGTAGAGGACCGCGGGGCCACCAATCCACCGGAGTTGGAGGGCAGCACGGGGTGGACGGCCACGGGGCCACTAGAGTTGGAGCCGGCGCGAGGGCAGAGCGCTGCAGGGCCACCGAAGCTGGAGCAGGCGTAGGGGGGTGGAGAAGTGGAGGCCGACGCGAGGGCGTGAGAGTGGAGGCCAACGCGAAGGGCACGTCGCCAAGGACAGGGCGGGCAGGCGGGTCGCGCGAGGCCGGTGTGGTGGCGAACTCATCAAAGATGGGAGCTGGACGGAGGAAGCTGCGACCTGCGGCATGGTGTGTCTGAGAGAGACCGCGTGTGCGGATAAGGGAAGGAGCGAATAAGGAAAGGAAATAGAGAAGGAAAAGAGATGAAAACGGAGAAAAAAAGATTGGGGTATTATCAGGATTTCATTAATTTGCGTAGTAGAAGAGGCTGTTTTACCAAATGGTTCGACAAAACAGATTCAGCTCTGCTAGCAGAGCTGCTTTTCGAGTCAAAACCAAAAAAAGTTGATTCACCAAAAAAGTTGAGTTGTACCGAACAAACCTTAAATGTTAGAATCATACGTATGTCAAATCTAAATAGACCAATGCAATGAGTAGGAGCCGTGTCAGAATAAACAAACAAAAAAAACAACTATATTCTCTTCTCCATGTACTAGTGTTCTATTATTTTTGTACAATACTTGCATGCAAGCAACTGATGCCTTATTTTATTCTCTTCGATTCGATGTATCTAAGTCGATTTAGAGTCAACAACCATGGTCGCACATTACAGTGTTCTTAGTTCATTATGTCCTCAGTTTTTTTTTTTATCACACTGGAGGTGCTCTCACATCCTTTTTTTTCCTTTTCACAATATACCATCTCACTGAGCGTAGGGGGATGACCGTTCGCACCTCGCCACTACACACGTGCATGCTTCGCTGTCGTCCACAAAGCACATGTCAAGTTTTCCCTAACGAGCAATTTGGACAAATACTCCAAGTCACACACCTAGATTTATCGTCTCCGCCTAGAATTATTTAGGGTCAGGTGGCAACTAAAGCTCACTTTCGTCCTCACCCCACCGGCCGTCATGTTTGCATCCAATGAGAGGTTAGGGCGTATGGTGGGGGCCTGTTGAGCATGACAATGCAGACAGAAGGGCAACAAGAATCTGCAAAGCCGCATTGACAGGGGGGATCATCGTCTCCTTCCAAGTTGGTTTAAGATAAGCTATGTCAAATGATGTTGATTATAGGTTATGAAGTAATTTTCTAGAGAGAGAGAATAATGGTGTACATGCACTTTTTTGTGTCAACTAATTGTGATTCTACGCACCTCCTTTTGCTATTTTGTGTTTTTATCCTCATTTGAAGTTGAAGTCGTCGCCCTCATTTTGAGTGTCTACCATATGTGTGGGGGGATTAAACAATTTAAAAGGAAAGAAAGAGATAATAGAAATCGCCTCGAAAGACCAAAGTACCTTTTTCCCTTATCTCGTCATCCGCACCACACCACATTTCGCATGTGAAGAGCCTGATGACAACTTTTCATGACACCTCTTTGTGAAAGTGCTTCTTCCTTGTTTGAGGTGTCATCTCAAGTCTTGAGCTCTTCCACCAAAGCAAAGACTTAATAAAATTGAAGAAAAAAGTTAGCACTACCGGACAGCTTAAGCAAGGATTGTTGGCAGATAATTATATACATAATTTTTCATTTATTAGAAACAAAAAGGTAGCACTCTACGGAGGAATCATCATGTTACAAGAAACCATCACTATAGACATGGGCCAACCAAAAAATGCTACTTTTGGGCTGAAGAATAGCCTAAAACAAACGTGCACTCTACGGGCAAAGAACAGCCCAAGACATCCTTTTATTTTGAGTGGGCTCTGTCACATTGGGCTCCTAGAATACAGCCCATGCAATTCATGTTTTCCGATCAACTTGTGTGGATTAGGTACCCTTACAAAAAAAATTAAAGAAAGGAAAGTTTATGGATGAGATTGAGCTCATCCACAAATTTCAGAGCTCGAGCTTCATCGAGCTTAGCACCCGAGCTCACCTCATTGACAACATTAACCAAGAAGAATTCTGAGACATTCTCTAAAACTAATCACAACCTTGATGAAATATGAAAAGTTTGAAACAGTACTACAGAAGCAACCTATAATAATGAAGCCAAGTAAACGTAGAATTCTATTCTCTATTTAATCACAGCACAAATATTTAATCGCTAGTCATTGTGATTTTTAAAAGAGCATTGCACTGTCTTTTTCCTTCGAGAAAAATGCACGGTCTTAATCAAGCGGTTATGTCGCTGTTCGCTACGAGCTACAAGCGACTTGTTTTCCACAGTGCCCTATTGCGGACTGACAGCCACGTTGTGGGAAATTTCAGCCGCACTATCACAAGACACAAGCACTGCCACTATTTTTTTCCATGGAGTACATTGAGAGTGCCACTGTTACTGCCATGGTCCATGGACACAAATTATTCTCTTTTTGTCTGAAAAATGATAATCATTCATATCCTATTCGCACCCCCCACAAAAAAAAAATCACAGCCTGAGAGGATGTAAGGAATTTGGATGGTACATCATGCTATGAAAAATGGAAACTGGAAAGAGTAATCTAAGAGCCAGGTTTCAGTGATGTATTTATAATAATTGTAAAAAAGAAACAAATAAATTTACTAAATTTCATAACTATAGGTAAAACAATAATTTATGCACCAAAACTTTTTTTAATGAACAGACACGAGACGTGCACCATTTCTATTAACAAAGAATGAGAAATTGAGAATACAAGCTAGTGATCTTAAGAGAGGAGATCATAAACAAAGAGAAAAGGATAAAAAAAACCACCGCAAAACAAACTGTATATGACGACTACACAAACACAGGGAAACAAACTCTTTAGAAATATCCTTATATATACAATGCAGAGTCAACACCCTTTTCTCAATTAGAAACATCTTTCTCGAAGAAAAAAGAACTAGCTCCCGGTAATGGAAGTCAACATTCGCAATTGACACCGTGCAACTGACAACAACTAGAACATAACAATTAGCAAATGCACTTGTGTGAAGCTACCAAGGAAGGACAAGGCATGCAACGCAAAGCCAAGAAACAGAGAGCTGGGTGTGATGTGGGCTGAAAACGGCATCACAATTGCGTTGGACTTAAGACCTAACGCCAAACTTGAGTGCTCCAAACCAACTGTCTTGAAAACAGCCTTCCACAACGGCTGCAACAAATATTGGTTGTCCTCTCATCATTACACATGCATATTTACATATATGTATGTGGATTTGTTCCACAATGGAGTATTGTGGACATTGTAGACAGGAATGTGAATTGTCTAATAAGGATCGATCCTTTATCTCTTATTAAACTCTTTAACCATTACATTGGATTGGGCATGAAGATTGTTTAATTGTCCATTTTCTGAAGTGATAAATTCAAACAACAATGATTTTTATAATATCTGCAGTTATCTAACTACCTCGACATTTTCTAAAATTAGTTTAACTGATCCTCAGCTCTCCTTAGGTAACATCAATAAATTCCTTTTTTTATCGATGAAAGAAAATTATATTAGTATTTTCTAGTACAATACATCAAGTTGATATTTGTGTTTTCCTTTTGCAAAAAAAAAAACCCTATTATAGTTCAATATTGCAGAATTGTGATTTATCTTTTAGCCCATCATGGGAGAAGGGACCAGCAGTCTATCAAAAACGAAAAGCTAACACTGAGGGTGGGTTGTGGCTTGCCATTCAGTCCGAGATGACACTCGAAATCCTATCAGAAGTTAATCCACTGCCCCTTCCACGTGTAAAGAGCGAGCAGAGCATCCAGCAAGCTGCACCACATCCTATCCTATGCACCACATCTAGAGGCTATGTGCGAAACTATATATATATATATATATATATATATATATATAGAGAGAGAGAGAGAGAGAGAGAGAGAGAGTTAATCCACTGCCCTTCAGAGAAAGAGCGAGATATTCAGAAGAAAATCCTGCAAAATCTAGAAGTTAATCCACTGCCACCTTCCATTTAATATATATATATATCCATTTATATATATATTTATATACACTAATTATACAACATGTCAATACTATGTGTGAGAAAAACAGTTCCACACTATAACACATTATTATATTTATATAACGTTATAGTAAATCATATAATAGTTATATATAATATATAAATTAACATAGTAATTATAATTGTATTTGAACTCAAAGAAACATATAATTATAAAATAAGTTTATTTCTATTTCTATAGATAATTATATAGCCTTTTATTTATCAGTAATAGTAGTTATATATATATATATATATATATATATATATATATATATATATTCAGAATTCAGATGATAGGATTAAGTGAGTCACCGAGCTAGATCGTTTGGTTGCTGTGACACTGATGAGCCAACGTACTGCAATGGTGACACATCGTTTGATTGCGATGGTTCATGTGGAAAAAAATGGAACCATCAGGGCGTTCAGCTTCCTACTGAAAATTGTATTTGTAAGTTTGAAGCTGCAGATTAAAGAAACATATAATCCTTTTCCAGTGGATCGACCCAAGACTAAGGAAAGGTTGTAATTCTAGTTTTGTATAGATAATTATATAGCCCCTGGTGCTTATCCCTTTTTCTTTTTTTATTTATCAGCATTAGCTGTGCACTTTCCCATTCAGATGCTACCACAAACAACTGCACTGTAAGAGAATGTCTTTCTTATATGTACACGCACGTAAATTATATTACTACTATCACCATCATCAAGGATTGTGATTGATTGAGGCGACCTGCACGACAGTAATAGATTCTTAGGTTTTTAATAATCATTGTAATATCTACAAATCTTGGGGCACTTTACGTGGCTGAGATAAATCGTGTAAACATACGGAGTACGTGCAGGTGGACTCCTGTGAGCCCTGTTTTGCTGCCTTTGTTACCTATTTAATTTAATGTCTTGTATTGTAGCGCTTATTTTTTATTAATATAAAACCCTTTTGTATGTGTCTGTTTGTTAACTTATTGCAAACATAAATGACTGTGGAACTGTTTCCGCATCATCAATCATGGAGGCATTTTTCTAGTGTGGTGTGTTCTCCCTTTTGTTGCCAACATGAACTTCTTTTTGTTTTTTCTCCCAGTGAAAAGTGGGACGATCTGTAGGATACAGAACAAACAACCTATTCGTTTGATCGTTTATGTGGTTCAGTTGATGCTGTTTTATTGTGAGAGAAAAATATTATATCATGCCTGATAAATATGACTGAAGCGAACGGTGGAACAAGAAGAGAGAAAACAAGACAGGGAGAATAAAAATACGGAATTAAAAACAGCGGGGCACCACCGAATCATGCTGTGGTCGCATGCAGCTGGATCCCTGAGCTGAGGCTGAGCTGTCATGCTGTTGGCACTCTGGTTGCTCACCCACGCTGCCCCCACTACCCTACCCAATATGGGCTGCATAAATAAGGACACACAGCCTGTTCGTTTGCTCGTATATGATTATAGATTATAAGTTGGAATAATATTTTTCTCTCATACCAAACCAGCCAGCAGTAAATAATCCACGATCGTTTACGGCCTGCCGAACAGGCTGACATTTATTGGCTTCGTTACATGTACCAACAGCGGCTTTGCGATCTTCACTCTTGTGATTTGTTCCAACAACCAAGTGGATTTTGTGTTGCTGACTGTTAAGATTTTTCTTATACCTCTATGGATCATCATTATAAAATACTACTCCCCTTGTTCCAAAGTATAAGTCGTTTTGACTTTTCCGGATACATTTTTTTTTGCTATGCATAGAAATAACTATAAATCTAGAAAATTCAAAGCAACCTACAATTTGAAATTGAGGGAGTAGCATCCAATATGGCATTGAAAAGTGGACCTTGACTCCATAATCTTAAGTTGGTTCCAAGGGGATCTTATTTTACGGAGCTTAAGGGCTTGGGGTGGGGGGTCGATTTTTGAAAAATGAAGTAAGCATGCATATTTGGCTTGAGGTTTCAAGTGGGTTGAGTTGTATCGAACCCCTTTTTTTGAATGGGAAACATGTGGTGCAAACCATGTGTTAGGTGGAAATATGAAAACTAATTTAAAAAATACATTTTATTTTATTTCTAAAATTGGTATATCCATAGTATTAGTAGAGGTTTTATATTTCAGTTTCTAAGATTGTCATGTGTTACGGTGCTGACAAGTTTTATCCCCATAAAACTAATTTCATCTCATAAAGTTTTCATCATCTCTTTCCATCTATGCTATAGCATGTCAGCTTACTTAATGTCTATGAAACCCCGTTAAGGCTAGGCTATTGATGCTCGTTTAATTTCATAAATATTACCATTTTCCTTGTAAATTTAGCCAGACAAAGTATAATTTGGAAACAGTGTACACAAGTTTGATCCCTATGAAACTCATTTCATCCCATAAAACTTTTATCATCTTTCTTCATCTATACATTATCATGTCAGCTTACTTAATGTCCATGAAACCCCATTAAAGCTAGCCTAATGACGCTCGTTTGATTCCATAAACATTACCATTTTCCTTGTAAACTTAATCAGATATAGTATAATTTGATTTATGACAAACTAACTCCTTATATGTTGCACAAAGTGGATATTATTTTTTTGCAAGAGCCTGGAAATGTCAATTTTCGGTATCCAATTTGTCCATATCCTTCTTTTAAATAATGCCAGGGGCTCCAACATTCACTTCTTGTTAGGTGCCCCATTTTTATGTTTTAGTCGTCGTGTGTACACTCCTTGGTATCCACAGCAATTCTCTCACCACTAGCACGGGGCACGAGCATCCCCGCACTACAGAATATCCGTTCCAGCCTCATCCACCGTCCGATCGCCAAATCTGACGGCCACCGTTTTCCCGAATTAATGATCCTCCGACATTTCCCGAAACACGAGTGCGCCCCCCAAAAAATAAACGGAATACTGGGTATTTATTGATTTTCTCCGACCCAACCCACTTTCCGATTTCCTCCTCTCCGTTCCTCCCTCCCCTTCCTCTCTTGAACCCTCCGCCGCTCCGAGGAAAATCCGATTTGAATTGAAATCATCCGGAGACAAGGAGATTTTTTCTTCCTCAGACGTATCTTCTCTCTCGATCCGATCCGTAGCTGCTCGCGTCCCTGTTCCTCGCCGGCGGCAGCGGCGCTGGGCAAGCGGCGGCGACTGGACGAGGTCTTTCATCGGTTCTCCGCGGGCGACGATCATCCACTAGGTACGCCGCCCTTTCCCGTCCGTTCCTGCCGTGCGGGACCGAGCGCCTCCAAGCTATATGCACTCGGATCTGACCCAATTACGTCCCACTAAATTCGATTTTTGGCGCCTATACTGTGCCCGCCCCCTGATCTGTTGGTAGCTCACTGCTGAAACTTCAGCTTGAATCCTCCTTCCTGGATTGGATGCAAGCTCGTGCTAGTTTGGCGTTGAATTTGCTCGAATCTTGATTTCGGTTTGAGATGAGCTGTTTACCCTTCGCAGTTTGGTCGGCCTGAGCACATGATGATGGCGAACGCGAAGCTCCATAAGCAGGCGCTGCTACCGCCGCGGAGCCCCTTCCCGACGGCGGCGCCGTCGCCGTACGCCGACCGCGGCCCAATCGCGCGGCCGCAGGTTGGCGCCGCGCACCACCGGCACGGCCACCACCAGCGCACGTCGTCCGAGAGCTTCATCGAGGAGCAGCCGCCGCTGTGGCTCGACGACCTGCTCAACGAGCCCGAGACGCCCGCGGCGCGGCAGAGCAGCGGCCGGGCTGGGCACCGCAGGTCATCCAGCGACTCGTTTCGCGCTGTTTGACGGTGGAGCTGTTGGCGCTGGCGCCGGTGCCGGTGCTTACGCCAATGGCTTCGAGGGGGGGATGGGGAGAGGAGGCGGGCAGCCTGCGCCGTGGGGCGGTGTGCAGGAGTACTATGCCAAGTCGGCATCGTTTGGGAGGGCGCATGGCCGGCCGTGGGAGCAAGGCATGCCGAATTCGGCGGGTTTCAGGCATGGTGGTGGCCTGCCAATGCCCACAAAAGATAAGGTTGGCGGGCATCATGGGCCACCGCATGTGTCGAGGGAGCATGACCATGGCATGGATAAGAGAACTCCTGATGATGCTGGCCATGATCAAAAGGTTGGAGCCAAGGAGGGTGTGCTGCCGAAGCATGCAGAGTCAGAGGCGGACAACAAGCGTGCTAAACAGTGAGTTTGGTTACTGTTGAATACTTGAATGTGATTTTTTGTTTCGCACTTGCACAATGCTACTACAATATAATCTGAAAAGCTAAGACATTTCACCGTAACCTTAAGCACAAAACCCTTAAATAGACATTTTTTATAGTTCACACTAAGAATAGTGCATATATTGTAATTTGATGTTTTTCTTGACCTTGAGAATACAACAATCATTGTTGTGATGAAGTGAGCAGCATTTTTATTGAAGTTTGTTCTGTATGGTTGCACAGACCATTCAGTTACTGTGAGCACAGTATAGTGTGAGCTATATATTCATTCCATATGTGTTGTAACTTACTGAACACATATGTGTTGTAACTTACTGAACAATTGGTATTGAACAGGCCTATGTGCATGTGCTGTGAACCTGTGGTTTGTGCGCACGCATGGTCAATGTGCAGTACTTTAGAATTGACCTGTGGTAACATAAATGAGAAACAACTTACCCAAGCTTTCCAGTTTGCAACTTGAGAAATCCTGGAATGAGATGTGTCCTTGTCAGCTATAATGCTTAGAAAAATGTGCCAGACCTGATCTACACTGACTGAAAGTAAATATATTGAAATTTAGAGATATTCAATCTAAGCTTGGAATCATACAATTTAATATTTAATTTAGGGCATCATGCTATTCAATCAGTCCTATTTATTGAGATTACAATGATTGCTCATTTTTTGTTTTCATTAAGGTGTCATTTCAATTGGTTGCAGGCAATATGCTCAGAGGTCCCGTGTCCGGAAGCTGCAGTATATTGCAGAGCTTGAAGGTAGAGTCCAGGCATTACAGGTGAGCTTACCACGGTGAATGATTTTTATTTCTCTTTAGATTTGGTATTATATGTGACGGAAAGATATTCATGTTCAAATCATGCAGTCAGAAGGGGTAGAAGTGTCTGCTGAAATGGAGTTCCTTACCCAGCAGAATATTATGCTCGACCTGGAAAACAAAGCCTTGAAGCAAAGACTGGAGAGTCTAGCTCAGGAACAACTTATTAAACGCTGTAAGTATTGTCCCTAATATTTTATTTTATCTTATCTCGAGATTGTGCTCTCCATCCAAATCATTTCAGTAACTTGCATTAGGTTTTCCTGAGATACTAATAATGTGTCAAGGATAGATGCTACGATGAGAGATTGATTCAAATAAAATTTTCACTTAACTGGATAGTGGCTCTGCTTGTCATTATTATTATTATTATTATTTTGGTTTATCTTCATTTAAGAGGACATTTAACAATGGTTCTTATTGGGTTTAACCATTTAAGCATCTACTAAGACCATCAATAATTTATGAAACAATGTCTTCTCAATTGAAGCAACAACAAAAAAAAAAAATCAACGACATGAGGACATCCCTCCTAACTTTAAAGTGAGGGCTTAGCACTGAACTGTTTTCTCAGTAAGATGTATCATCTACATGCATCTATGGTCGAACCTTCAATAGAGCTATTCTGGAAATTTTTGGTTTTTAACTAACTTGTCGTGAACTCATTTGACAGATCACTCATTGTTTAATTAATTCAGATATCCAAGGAACCTATAACTGGAAGCTGGAAACCAAACTAACTAGACAAGTCAAACTTGGTTAACCCAGTTTCCAACCTTTAACAAGATGCGAAAAGGAATTTGTTAGTATAATTTGGAAAAGCACGGTGGTACCAATAACATCTGAAATTCTGCAATCTGCATACTAACATATCAATGGCCCAATATACATGCTGAACTTGAGGCAGTAGGTCACGAAATTACTTAACTGTTTCATATATACATGTATATTACTTTGTTAGGCCTCCACTATGTTGCTAGTTAACTACATAATCAACATACCAGTGGCTCTGTATTTCATAAGACCTTCTATGTTGTTGACTTACTATATCTGTGCTTAACAGCCAAGTAGTAAATAGTATCTTAGAAATTTAGTTAGCCTATAAAACAAGTACCTAGGGTCTTACATTTGTCAAAAGAGACTAAGACCCTCTTTGGCAGGGCTAACATTGAAGCCAGGAAAAGCCATGGTTTTATGTCTTCAGCTTCTAGGCGAAAATGGCTTTGGATTCACCGTTTTTGGCTTGGTTTTGGCTTCATAAGCCGTTCTCGTGTATGCACATTTGGCAAGGCTTTTGATTAAGCCGGTGGAGAAGTCCTTACAAAAGCCCTGCTAAAGAGTGCCTCAGTAACTGCCAGTCTGCTACTTTACCAGTTGTAAATATAAGGCCATCTAGGGTTGTCCAAAGTCAATTTTAAAACTTTGATCACCAAGCATCAATATCTGAAACTTTATATGGATTGCTAACACAAGATCGGCATTTACAGGATTTCTTATGAAAAATACTTTCATAACATATTTACTCTTTTCATTTAAGATAATAAATTTTTGTAGTTACTGCCAGTCAAAGTTCAGACCGTGTCGATGTCCTATAGAACTTATATTTACGATCTGAGGAAGTATCTAATCAGAAGGCATCTTCTTTTCGTTAGTTTTCAGTTCGTCAGAAGCAGTGCATTGCTTTGTTGATACTGAATGCCTGCTAAGATTTTGTTATTCTGATTAGAAGAAAAACTTTGAACATTCTTTCTCAATTTTGCAGTTCAGCAGGAGATGTTTGAGCGGGAAATTGGTCGTCTCAGGTCCCTATATCAGCAACAACAGCAGCAGCAGCAGCAGCAACAGGTTCCTGCTCTTGTTCGTAGTAAGAGCAGAGACCTTGATGTGCAGTTTGCCAACTTGTCTCTGAAACACAAAGACCCCAATGCGGGCCGGGATGCTCTCTCTGGGCCTCTTCGTACTTAGTTCTTTTCATCCTTCCGTTCTTGTGGGTTCTATCAGTTGCCACCACCGTGTGGCTGTCATCTCCACCAAGAAAGGAGAAGTGCACTTGGATTGCGTGAATAACACCGGAAAAGGCTAATAGCTATGGATCTGATGTTTATTATTTCGGGATATGCACCTGGCGGTCATCCTCAGCTTGCGTCCATTGGTGATGCTCGACCAGTCGGCGGTGTTTAGGGTTTTCTTTTTAGCTAGATGCTTTTCAAGCATCATTGTACCATTTCTCATGCTAGGGTTCTAATCTGTTACTATCCCCCCTTTTTTTTTTTTTCCTGAGCTGTATTCTTCATGCATCGTAGCCATGTTTGGATTTGTGCGTTATTAGTGGAATGTGGAGCACAAGTCAGCATCAGGTAAGTTGCTTTGAAAATGTGCCACGTCCTTGATAACCGTATGTTGTGCTATTATTTCTCAGTACTCAATAAGCTAGTGCAAACGAAGTATTAGTGATCTTCAAACTTCAGGTTGCCTTTGATGTTGGTCTCCTACGAATAATCTGTGAATTACTCAACGTTTCTTGTTGATGTTAAAATTTAGCCCCATAATTGTATATTCTGTATGCAAGCAGTGCTGAGGTATGGTTGATTTAATTTATTGGCAGCATGTCAAATTCAGTCTGTGGATGATCAATGATATTCTCTCTGTGTACCATCATGGTAGATGACTAGATGAGGCTTTTACAACATTTGAGAATACTGCAAATATATTTGTTGAAGAGTTTGATGTTGGAGCATCAATATGACTTTTCGAGTACTGTGTTTAGTCCATAACGTTGTACAAATTCAGTTCACCATAATACAATATTGTTTAGGTCATCATAATAATACATATTGCTCAAAGTAATTATGCTAGTTTCAGTGTTACAGAAAAGGAAGCCAATGAATACAACCACTACACCTATATCAGACACCTCGAATAATGACTGAGCTCCGAGCTTCCGACTCTCCAGAGCAGTAACTTTTGCAAGCTAAGATGGTTTGCAGTAACACTGTATATTCAGCACCAAGATTTTAGCAAAATCAACTTAAAAGCCATAGAATATTGTGTTGGCCTCAACAAACACTGCGTTCATTCTATTTCCGATCAACATCCATTTCTTCTACAGTAGTATTTTTTGCTCTATGGTTAGCCACGGTGTTGTCCAATGTCCCTCTGACATGTTGGCACATAATCATCAGATTCTGCAAAGCATCTTTCAGTACATCCTTTGTTGCATCTCCTACCAATATAAACAGGCGTAAGGAGTGTGAGCACCCTTTCGAGGAACTAGAGCAGCAAAGAAACCGTTGAGTGGTCATTTAGTGGGAATGAGAATATGAGATGGCACCACTTAGTCATCAGAGCTGAGCATAAATTGTAGCATCAATGTTGCATTTTAGTATCAAACACTCGAAACAAACAATATATTAAATATATTAGATGTGTAGTCTCTGGGAAGAAACAATCAACAAATTCCCCAAAACACATCGTAGTGTTATATTAGAACCATAATAGTTGATTTAGTGCATCATCATAATAATAGTTATAATAGTTGATTCAGTGCAGCATCAGGTAAGTTTCCCAAAATACATGATAGATGATTCAGTGCATCATCACCACCATAATAATAGTTATATATTATATTAGAACAAGTGAAAAACATCTATGTACCTACAAGTCAACTAGAGATTATAGGGAGTAGCCAGGAGCACAATGAAATGTGATTCTTGCAAATTCACTCAATAGCCATTAAATGGAGGACAAATCGATACAACAACTTTACAAGATATTCACTTATTCAACAATGACCAAAGGGAATGATACAATGTCAAGATAATGTGCCACTTTGTGGTACCTGTTGTCTGAACTCTTATGTTGACTTTCTTCTCAGCAGGATGAGGGATGCTGCATCCACAAAATGCTACCCTTGGGCTGTAAAGACAATAAGAAGGTAAATATATACAAAATTATTAGTCTTCGATTCCAAAATATACAATATTTCTGGCACATCAAGTGTCTGCAAGTCCGACCTTCTCAAGAAACTCTAATGCAACAAATGGCTTTAGCATGAAGATAGTGATATCATTTGCGAGGATGGTCCTTTGGAGTTGACACAATAATTTAAATATCATATATTTTCTAAACATTAAACCGTTAAACATCATCCTGAGAGCTAGTGTGTGTATTCAAACAAAAAAAGTTAAAGCTTTAAGAGTCAAACTGGAACAAGTAGGCCCTAAACATTGCCTTGAGACTTAGTGTGTGTATCAAACAAAAATGTTAAAGCTTTAAGAGTGCATTGGGACTTGTTGTATGTATGAGAAGAAAGTAAAAGCTTTAAGAGTGCCTTAGTGCTTAGGCAATGTAAGAAAAAGGGGCAACAGTAAAGCTTTAAGGTTACCTGACTTGATTGAGATGTCCAGTTCTCTTCAATAGGGTGTGTACTTATTATGGAATAAAGCAAAGCACAGTAAAGGTAACTGAAAACTGGTCTAAAATTGGTTCAAGCACAAACCAATGAAATTGATGATCGACAACCATATCAACAGAACAATGGTAATTTCCAAAGTAGTCTAATGTTTTGTGGTTGCCAGCGATAACAGCAGGGAGAGGAAGAAATTACAGTATCCCTCTAGTAACCCAGAAATGTACCAAAATGATCATATTACCACCAATAACTACTCCATAAAGACCAGTTTGCAGAATCACAAATACATACTAAAGTTCCTACTACTTTGCTGCTTGTTTTATCCTCTGAGCACCATCTTTTGTTGTCATCATCTGGTAACAGTTGTTTGCTGGAGGTACATAATCTAAAGAGAGCAATGATGAAGTCTCATAGTCATGATCTGCACTGATAGATCGACCTATTTTCTGAATCCCAAAACTAAAAACATCAAATTCTGGCAGCAACACAAGTTCTCCCTTCCAACTAAGTTTCATAGTGATGACCCACAAGGACAGGCCGACCTAATTGAAGTGAAATAATGTAGCAACAATTTTGCTAAAATCACATTCTGGTGATTAACTCTTCTAGTGCATCATCCTAGAAGATGACAACAAGACAATATATCATGTGCAAACCAACCAACCTGTGCAAACTTGAAAACTATCAATTAGAACCACTGGATGCTGATCCAATGGATGAGGTGAGGGGGCTTAAGCGCAAAAAAAGGACGGCGGGTGGGGGGCTTAAGCGCAAAAAAATCTCACCTCTCACCCCATTCATTGGATCAGCATCTAGTGGTCCTGATTGGTAATTTTAAGTTTACACAGGTTAGTTAGTTTGTACCTGATACGTTGCCGACAACAAAAACCATGGACCATGGTCATCTACAAGAATTGTATTCGTGGCTCTTATCAAAATGGCGTTAGATATGCAACCGAGCTAGAAACACCAACAGACCCTCAAAACTAAGACATAACTGACTGTCCTCCCATCAGTTGTTACGGAACCTTAAACCCCTATAAATCGCAAAAACCCATGAACAAACTAAAGAGGGATACTTCCTCCTCCAAGAACGCTCTGTTTCATCTATTGGACTATGCCAGCATAATCACAACGATCCGCAGATAACAAGCAAATAGATACTGATTCTTTGGAGATTGGACAAAGAAGGGGAAGAAGAAAGCCTTCACTTACTCCTGGTTGAGGACGAAACTGGCGGAGTTGGCGAGGGTGTGGTCCTCCTCCATGATGGAGAAGGTCGATGAGGTCGAGTCCGTCAACGACCCGTGCTCCATCGCCGCGTCGCCTCCCTCCGGTCGGGCGAGCAGTGGACTGTGATTCCCCAAGAAGCACGAACAAGATAAGAACATTGGCAGGGAAACAGAAAGGATGCGACGAAGTGAAACCAAACGAGAAATCAATCAGAACGCACAAACTCACCAGTGGCAGCTAAGGATTACTGGAGATTTCGCAAGATACCCTGGAGGAATGAGGAGAAATTTCTCGTGCGGGAGGGAGGCGGCGGCGCAGCCCAGTGGGTTTGGATGGACCTTTATTGCAGACAAAGCGGGCAGCCCGAAAACCCTATGGTCTGGTGGGCAGGAGGATCGGAGCCGGAAATAAAATTATAGATAGGGCAAGTTATGTATTACTAACTAATCTACTATACTATACTATAACTATACCACATAAAAAATAACGACGAGTATCGTCTGCGTGCCCCTGTCCCAGCAAAAAAAAAAAACATTCCCCCCGCCAAATCTACTACATCCACCCCGCATGGCAAAAAAACCATTTCCCCCGGCAATTTTTTTTCCAAAATAAAAAAAACCGTTTCCCTTGAAAAAAACAAACGTCCGCCACGCCTCGGCAAAAAAAAAAAAAAATCCCTGGCAAAAAAAAGTTTTCAAAAAAACAAACGTCCGCCCCACCACGGGAAAAACAATGTTTCTGAAATAAAAAATATACGGCACAAAAAAGCCACCGTAACAAAAAAAAAACGTCACAACATGCCTGTTTCTGAAAAAAAACGGTATCCTATACGGAAAAAAATAATATTTCCAAAAAAAACATATACGAAAGAAACATTGACATATGCATATAATTTAAAAATAAACCAAAAAATGAGAGGAATAAACTTTCTCCGTGCGAAAATAGATCAATCTCTAAAAAATCAAACAAAACAGTTTATCTAAAGTAGACATATGCAAATAACAATTCCCTTGAATTCACCTTAGATACCTGTGGTGAACGCAGGTGTTGTACTATAAAATAGATTTAATCGATTTCAAGAGATCATATCAAGATCACTATTTATCCTTCACTCGACACGTGTTCGTGTTCTACCCGGTTCTGATACTATAGCCAAATTTACGTATCCGTGTCCGATACAAAGTCTTTAAAGTTCACACGTTCACATCCTACCCGATTCCAATTCGAAGAAAAAATCTATATGTCCGCATCCAATACAAAGTTCTCAGAACTCACAAGTTCACGTCTAATTTACTAAGGTTCACTCAAAAAAAATTTAACCCCCATGCAACGCACGGGCATTTATCTATTACCAACTAAAAAATTTCTAAGCGTGTATGCGTCCGCCCCTAAGCGTATCGGCTGCGTCCGCCCCGCCCCCGCCCCCGCCTACGACAAAAAAAAAAGTTTCGCCCCGCCCCCGCCTACAGGGAAAAAGTTTCGAAATAAAATATATACGGCAAAAGAAAAAAAATAAAAACAAACACCACCCTATACGACAACAAAAAATATACGAAAAAACATTCTCAAAAATAAAACCGCCCTAGACAGCAACAAAAAATATACAATTAGGAGTGAGGAAGAGAATAGGAAGAAATACAGAGTTCCAGATGTGAAGATGTTAGAGAGAAAGAAAATGTGGGAGAGCCTTAATAGTTTTTAAAATAGATCGCGGTTCCTGATGCAAGATGTCCCAATCCGGGTGGGCCTCTCATGGTGGGCTTCTTTTTTTGACCTGGTCGAATCCTTGCAGTTGGGCTAGCTTCGTTGTGGGCTGGATCGAGCCCATGCAAGCCTTTTTCTTTTTGTTTCATTTTTTCTTTTTTATCTATAAAAACAAAGATCAACTCTCCATTTCAGAAAAAAAACAGATACGGCAAAAAAGACATTTCTGAAAAAAAATAAAAAAAAAAAAACAGTGGCAACATATGAAAAAGTGGAGGGTTCTAGGTGAAAAATGCAAAGAAATATAAACACAAAATGAATAGTAAAAGTGGATCTCAAGATTTACATAGACTTCAGGGTTCCCAATACAAAGTGTTTTGTTAGCTTCTTATCTTTTTCGGAACAATGCACAAATTGACTGAAACTAAAAAAATCTTTATAAAATAAAAAATTAAATCCAAAAATTATAATTCAAATTTATTCAAGTTCCTTTCAACCCCAAGTGTAACCGTGTCATTACGTGTGAAATATAAATCAAGCCTAAGAGCATGTACAAAACAAATGACAAGGTCAGTCTAAAACGCTTGAAAATTGTCAACTCAAAAGTCAGCATTATAAATCCGTACCTGCGGTCCAAAAGAGACTCAATGTCAGGACCGTAGTCAATCTGGAACAAAAGAATACGATCAAAAAGCCTAAATACATTTGGAAATAGTTTAGGTTCCTCATGCAAAATTATTTAATAGTTTTTAAATATTTTTTAAAAATGATCGAATCCTTCGCAGTAGACATGGACAAAAAAAACGTGACCCTCCTGCAACGCATGGGCACATATCTATCAAAAAGACACCACGTTCACTACGCACAACTTTCGCATACTACAATGACCCAAATTATAGCAAAAATATTGCAATCACGCATATTATGGCAAGTGGATGAAAAACACAAGATGCACGGGGCACAGACCCTCACCCTCCTCGTGGACCTTCTCCTCTCCCCCCTCCATCGCAGGAGTCGCACTTTCGCAGCACGGGGCTGGTAGCACCGCAGCAGAGTGCACCGCAAAAGCAGCAGCAACAGCTTCAGGTCGCCGCTCGCCTGCTCCGCTGGTCCTGGTTGGCGGTGACGGGCGGACGAGGGGCCACTGCGGGAGGCACCGTGGCAGCCACCAGCCGATGGTGCAGGTGTGCAGTGGTGGGAGGCAGGCGGTCCGAATTTTTTGTTTTTAGCTCTTTTTTTGAATTTTTTCACAAATATGCTCCTGGAGGTATGCTTCAAAATCTGGACCCTTAACTCGGCGCCATCATTGGTGGCACCGAACTTACACGTCTCGGCGTCATAGATTTTGACGCCTAGGTCTTGGGCTCAACGTAAACGTGGCGGTGACTTGGTAGGCACCTTGGCGCCGTAGATCTTGACGCCGAGCTTGGCACCGTAGATCTTGGCGTCGAGCTTGGCGCCGTGGTTATTGGCGCCAAGCCCTGTCTTACGTATGTGCCCTCTCTTCCTCTTTCTCTCTTCCTCTCTCTCTACCGCTCCGAGCCAAGGCGCCGCCTTGCATTGCCAAGACCGTGACTCGTCGCGCATCGCCCTCGCCTCGCCGCGCCACGCCCGCAGCCCCCCCCAGTGCCGACCGCCCGCGGGCCCTCAACCTCGTCCGCCGCCGCCTCGCTGCACGGAGCGCCGGCTGTCCAGCGCCTGTCGCGCGCCGCCTCATCCGTCCCGGCTCGCCGCATCCGTCGCGCGCATAGGCGCTCCCTCCGGCGACCCGACCGCGACACGGCCCCTGCTCCTAGTGCGTCGTGACCTCGCCGTCGATCCCATCCTCCGCGTCCCCGTCCTGCTCTGGTCCCGGCGTCCGTCGTCCGTGTCGCATCGTTGCATTGAATAAACCATAGAACTAGCAAGTAATGGAGACTACTGAGTGCAACGATGCCACTTTCCCTTCCTCAGGGCATCGGGATTCTCCTCCATCGCTGCTTTCGCTCGGCGTGCACGCTCAAGCTTCTCCCTATCCTCCATGTACGTAGCAACACACCTCCTTTCCTTCTCTTCCTTGTGCTCCTTTTTTGCAGCCTCCTCTCCGCATCTCTTCTCCATCATCTCCTTGTCCTCTACCTCCCAACGCAATAGTTTCTGCATCCATTCCTTGTCTTCAGGCTTGATCTCATTGTCGATCCATTGCTCAAAATCACAGAGCGGTGGAGGGGTCTGCAAAAAATGCAATTGTTACAAAACAAAAAAATCATACAAGATGTCATATGACACAAACATCAATTCCTCACCATCTTGTTAATGCGACATTGATGAAGTGTAGGCTCAAACGCAAAATTGGAACACATCCAATACCTCTGCCTATACGTGTCCTCTTCATCGGACTTGGCTACTTTGCAAGGATCGCCGCAAAAGCACATGGGTACTGGAACACCACTAGGCAAAGGCAATGGGTCGAAGGCATTTCCGGTCATCCGACCATAACTATAATTTACCATTTTCGTTTTAAGAACCGAAAGCAATTAACATTAAACCCTACATCTAGGGTTTCCCATTTGATCCACAACAATGAATCCATATCATAGCAACGTGCGCTGAGGTTACCTTGGTTTGGTAGCTTTTTCACGCCTTGGCATCCTACGATTGTATAATATAAATATTAAAATTGCATGAAACCCTAAGTAATGATGATTCTTAAATTGAAAATTCGACTAATATATACCGAATTGACTTGAAAAAAAACTAGAAGGGAGCGAGGATACCTTGCTCTCGAAGATCTATGGATCAAATCAAAGTTTCTAAGGTCTAATATGCCGATTCGTGAGGTAGGGCGAAGTGGGAAGAGAAAAAACCTGAGAGGGAGGAGAAAGAAGATGAAGAAGGCTCGGGCAGGAAGGTTGGGCTCCGAGTTAAAACACCATCTCGGCGCCGTTCTCGGCGTCAATAACCATGGCGCCAAGCTCGGCACCAAGATCTTCAGCGCCAAGGTGCCTACCAAGTCACCACCACGTCTGCGCCGAGCCCAAGACCTAAGCGCCAAAATCTACGGCGCCGAGACGTGTAAGCTCGGCGCCACCAACGATGGCGCCGAGCTAAGGGGCCAGATTTTGAAAGCATACCTCCAGGAGCATATTTGTGAATTTTTTTCAAAAAAATGGCTAGAAAACAAAAAATTCGGGCAGGCGGTCGGGTGGGGACACGAGGCTGTTGGGGCCAGCGACGGTAGGGCGGGGGCACGGGCGCCGACGACGGCTGGTGCCACAGCAGCCAGTGGGCGCTTGCCAGCTTGGGCGGGCGGCGACGTCCTCGACTAGAGACGATTCGGCAATTGCAGATTAAGGAGGGATCCGATCTCACTTCTGGTAGGCTGAACAAAGCGAAGAAA